ACTAAGAGTGAATATAATTAGACAATAATTATTAAAATAAAAATATTTATTAATTGATATAAAAAGAGTTTTTAAAAGAGTTTATATTAAACTATAACACAATTACCTATTTATTTATTTATTACAAGTTTTTTAATAAAATAAAATCTAATTTACCTAATAAAACCAATCACATTATATATAAAACTCTTATTTTTAGTTTTTTTTTTATGAATAATTATAGTTTTTATAAAAATCTAAAAATTACCTAATAAAATCAATCATATTCTATATAAAACTCTTATTTTTAGTTATTTTTTATGGATAATTATCACAATATAATCGGCCCGGGCCAGTTATGATTATGTCATTATCAAAAAATGACACATGTCATTATCCTATTCATCCAAGAAACTTATAAACAGAGACATGGAGGAAGGATGAAGGGGTACAGATTGAGAATTCTAGAAATTTAGAATTTCAGAGTAAAATACAGAAGTTCTGCCAAAGAGCTTAGTATTTATTTATTTATATAAAAAATTATTTATTAATTGATATAAAAAGAGTTGAATTACAGAGTAAAATACAGAAACTCTGTCAAAGAGTTTGACTATTTCAATATTTATATATTTATATAAAAAAATATTTATTAATCGCTATAAAAAAAGTTTTTATCTATACTATTATTAGATGTGTAAAGAGTTTCAGTATTTATTTATTTATGTAAAAAAATATTTATTAAATAATATGATAAAACACTAAAATCTGCATAATAAAATTTAAATTAACCTATTTATCTATTTATTATTATCAATTTTTTAATAAAATAAATCTAATTAGACAAGAATTATTAGTATAAAAAATATTTATTAATTGATATATAAAAGAAAATAATTTTTATATAACTCTACTATGAGTTTTTTAATAAAATTAAATCTAATAAGACAAGTATATATTTAAAGAAAATAAAATAATTTTTATAAAACTCTATTACAAATTACCTATTTTATTTTCTATAAAACTCTAACACAAATTACCTGTTTATCTATTTATTATGAATTTTTTAATAAAAAAAAACCTAATTAAACAAGTATTATTAATATAAAAAATTATTTATTAACTAATACAAAAAGAGGTTTTAAAAGAGTTTTTAAAAAACTCTAACACAAATTACCTATTTATCTATTTATTATTAGTTTTTTAATGAAACTAAATGTAATTAGACAATAATTATTAAAATAAAAAATATTTATTAATTGATATAAAAAGAGTTTATATTAAACTCTAAAACAAATTACTTATTTATTTATTATAAGTTTTTTAATAAAAGAAAATCTTAGTACACAAGAATTACTAATATAAAAAATATTTTTAATTGATATAAAAAATAAAATAATTTTTCTAAAATTCTACCACAAATTATCTTTTATTATGAGTTTTTTTTTATACTAAAAACTAATCTAATTAGATATGAATTATTAACATATAAAAATATTTATTAATTCATCTAAAAAGAGTTTAAAAATATTTTCTATAATACTTTAACACGTATTACAAATTATAATTTTTTAATAAAAGAAAATCTAATTTTCAGAGTAAAATAGAGAGTTCTACTAAAGTGTTTCAGTATTTATTTAATTATATAAAAAAATATTTATTAATGAATATAAAAAAAGATTTTATCTATACTACTATTAAATTTGCAAAGAGTTTCAGTAATAAAATTTAAATTAACTTATTTATCAATTTATTATTATGAATTTTTTAATAAAAGAAAATTGAATTACACAAAAATTATTAATATAAAAAATACTTATTAATTGATATATAAAATAAAATAATTTTTTTTAAAACTCTACCACAAATTAACTTTTATTATGAGTTTCTTAATAAAATTAAATTTAATTAGACAAGGATATATTTAAAGAAAATAAAATATTAAATGTGCAAGGAGTTTCAGTATTTCAGTATTTATTTATTTATATAAAAAATATTTATTAATTGATATGAAGATAGTTTTTATATAAAAAAAAAACAAAAGAAAAAAAAAACTTAATAATGCTCAAAAATCTACCTAATAAAATTCAAATTAACCTATTTATCTATTTATTATTATGAATTTTTTAATAAAAGTAAATCTAAAGTTTCAATATTTATTTATTTATTTAAAAAATATTTATTAAATGTGAAAAGAGTTTCAGTATTTCAGTATTTATTTATTTATATAAAAAAATATTCATTAATTGATATGAAAAGAGTTTTTATAGAAAAAAAAAACTTCTATAAACTCTAAAACCTACCTAATAAAATTCAAATTAACTTATTTATTATTATGAATTTTTTAATAAAAGAAAATCTAATTAGACTAGAATTATTAATATAAAAAATATTTATTAATTGATATATAAAATAAAATAATTTTTCTAAAATTCTACCACAAATTAACTTTTATTATGAGTTTCTTAATAAAATTAAATATAATTAAAAAATGATATATTTAAAGAAAATAAAATAATTTTTATAAAATTCTATCACAAATCACAAATTATATTTTCAATAAAACTCTATCATAGTAGACAAAGATATAATATTTAAACAGTTTCTAAAGAATTTTAATTCGAATTTTCTATTTATATATTTATTGAGTGTTTTTATAATAAAAGGAGATCTAATTAGACAAGTATTATTAATATAAATAATTATTTATTAATTGGTCTAAAAATAGTTTTTAAAAGAGTTTTTATATAACTATATCACAAATTATCTATTTATCTATTTATTATGAATTTTTTTAATAAAAAAAAATCTAATTAGACAAGCATTATTAAGATAAAAAAATATTTATTAATTAATATAAAAAGAGGTTTGGAAATAGTTTCTATAAAACTCTAACACAAATTACCTATTTATCTATTTATTATGAGTTTTTTAATAAAATGAAATCTAATTAGACAATAATTATTAATATAAAAAAATATTTATTAATTGATATAAAAAGTGTTTTTTAAATAATTTTTATTAAACTGTAACACAAATTACCTATTTATTTATTTATTATAAATGAATTTTTAGAAAATATAATAATTTCTATAAAACTCTACCACAAATTATCTATTTTATTTTTTTCTTTAAAACTCTATCACATATAACTTGTTTTTATCTATTTATTGTGAATTTTTTTATGAAGGAAATCTAATTAGACAATGATATATTTAAAGAAATTAAAATATATTTTTAATAGATTTTATATAAAATTATAATAAAAATTACCTATTTATGTATTTATTTTGAATTTTTTAATAAAATATAATATAACTAGACAAGATTTATTAATAAATAAATTATTAAATAATTGGTATAAAAAATAAAATAATTTTTCTAAACTCTACCACAAATTATCTTTTATTATGAGTTTTTAATATAAAAAAATCTAATTAGACAAGGATATATATATTTTAAGAAAATAAATAATTTATATAAATTTCTATCACAAATTACCTATTTTATTTGCAATAAAACTCTATCACATTAGATAAAGATATATATTTAAATAGTTTTTATAAAACTCTAACACAAATTATCAAAATTTTACCACAAATTAAGTATTTTATTTTCTTTAAAACTCTATCACATATAACCTGTATTTATCTATTTATTATGAGTTTTCTAATAAAATAAAATCTAATTAAATAAGGATATATTTTTAAAAAAATAAAACAATTTCTATAACTCTATTACATTAGACAAGGATATATTTAAAGAAAATATATAATAATATAATAATACATATAAATAAAATATAAATGTTAAAGAATTTGAACATTTCAGTATTTATTTTTTAATATAAAAAACATTTATTAATTAATACAAAAAGATAACTCTATCACATATAAGTATATAACCCTTGTATTTATCTATTTTTTATGAGTTTTTTAATAAAAGAAAATATAATTTTATAAAGATATATCTAAATAAAATAAAATAATTTATATAAAATTCCACCTCAAATTACATATTTAAAGAAAATAAAATATAACCTAGGGTCTTCCAAAAATCACAAACTCCATATAATAAATTTTTATATCAATTTTAATCTAATGTATAATTAGTATAATTGAATTTCTATTTTAAAATTTAATTAAAAATTAATATAATTGAATTTCTATTGTAAATTAAAAATTATATTAAATTTCAAATTATCTAATAAAATTCAAATTACAAATTACCTAAAAAAATTTGTTACTTTGCAAAACTCAAATATTTCACTATTAAAATAAAAAATTATTATTTAATAAAAAATAAAATATACATATTTCAGTATTAATATAAAACATAAAAGAATTTATTAATTTACGAAACTTAAACTCTATCACCAATTTTAAAATATTTTAGTTTTTATTTATTAATATAAAATAAATTTTTATTAATCAATATGAAGATGAAAATTTTATAAGTTACAAAATATTTATTACGTGCATCGCACATGCCTTTTTCTAGTATAACTAAGTAGATGACTGCATTTCCTTAAAGAGTGGGTCTATCGTAACTATTTGGTGTAAAACTTATTTTTTTAAAAATTATTCAATAAATTATTTAGTTGGACAATTCATTACATGTTCGATGTGAGTATCATTAGTCATTTCTTATGAGACAAGTGCTGTAGAAAATTAGTAATGTAGTGTTTGGACTATAAATAGACTAAATAGTATTCTCGTAAGTTGAGACTTGAGATTCATTAGTTGAGAGACATGGGCTTTTTTACCATGAAACTCCGCTCAGGTTTAAATTCGTAATGGGACTACGTTGCCAACGAGACCGTCTTTCCACCAAACTGGGCCTGAGATCAGCCCAATTATGCCCATATTTTTGCCATGTCTTAAGTATCGGACTTGTCAGCCTTGGTTTATGACCTTGAGTTTGAGTTCTGTAACAGAGTCGGTAGGTCACGTGCTATTGCAATCTATCTATCTCACAACGAGATTCATCAGCACACCGCGCATGTTAGTCCTGAAGTTTCCAACTTACGCACCCTAGCGCACCTTAGCAGTCGCCTGCACAACCCACTTCATATCTGTTTATTCCCTATGTGAGTGGGCTTCTTCCACAAACTCACACAACTCTCAACTCTCTCTTTCTATGGGGGAAGCAATTAGGGTTTTGAGAGAAAGCATGACTATATAGCCAGACTTCATCTCTTTCTCTCTATAAAATTATATATACAGTGATTTCAATTTCTCTCACTTCGATCTTTCAATGCCTAGAAATCCATTCACAGCATCGTCCAGTGAAAACCCTAGGCAGTTTGAAGCCGCTTGCTATCTCTTCAGAGAGGCCTGCGATTTGGGCACCGTTTTGTGGATAAAACCCTTGATTTTCTTCTTTTTCGTGTTCTTTCATGAACGCATGATCCCATTCTGACCGAGTACTTCGCAACTTTCATTTTTGTATGGCGCCGAGTCGCAGAAAAGTCGGCAGCAAAGCTTCGGCCGCCGCTGCAGCCGCTCGCAGGCAGTGGAAAGTCGGCGATCTCGTCCTTGCCAAGGTCAAAGGCTTCCCAGCTTGGCCTGCAACGGTAAGCATATGGTTCTTTATATAAATAGATGTAATCTTTTTGGTCGCCAAATTTAGATATCTATTTTAGTTGGGGGTTTTGGTTGCATGCTCATCTTTTTTTGAATGCATAAAGGTTTGAAACTTTTTAGGGCTTATTCCTCAACTATTCTTGACGGATCAAAGAAGTTTGAATCTTTCTTAGTTGCAGACGGTTAATTATATTTTTGTAGGAGTTTATACTGTTAGATCGAAGAATAATGTGTGTGACACACACATATGACGGTTTATACTCCTAACTACAAAAAATAAAAAATAAAAAAACAAAAAAAACCCTAGTTGCTTGGAAAGAATCGGATAACAGAGAAGAAAATGTTCAGAAAAGCTTAAGAAACTTGGTTGTTGATGGCAGGTAAGTGAGCCGGAGAAGTGGGGCTACTCGGCTGATTGGAAAAAAGTACTTGTCTATTTCTTTGGCACCAAACAGATGTGAGTACTCCAGGCTACATTTAATGCTTTCCTGCTTCTTTGATATTATTTGTGCATTATATGTTGATGGTGCTTGAGTATAACCTTTATGAAATGTATGCCCTATTCATAACAAATGAATTTAGCCGGGGTTAGTGATTATCCATTGTAGGAAAGGTATTGATCCGGTCTATTTCGCTTTCGAACTATAAATACCATGTCTGCTTCTTTTTCCTTCTTTTTGACATCATCTACTTTTATTTTCATTTGGTTGTGCCTGTTTTCTCCTTTGTTTTTAATTATATAAATTCAACAAGCATTGGTACTATCATCTCCGCCCTTTTGTCGATTTGTATTTTTTCCACTCCCTTTTGTTCATTCATTTACTGTAGGGTGATGCAGTTATTAAAGCATGGTTAAACGCGGTTACTAGAAATAGAATGTGGTTATAAAATAACTAAAAGTCTCTTATATGGATCACTTCTGCAATATTTTAATCATGGTTTGCCATGTCTCTTTTTGTATCATTTGTCATTTTTTTTTTCCTGGTCTCTCTTATGTTTTTGTAGCTTTTACAAATTTTGAATGGCTGTGCATGGGAGTATTTTTAAGAAGTCTCCAACCAAACTTTTGGAACCTAAAAGATAGAGGTAAGTGTCATACAATAGACTTGTATGTTGGAATAGATAAAATTCATGGTCTATTGGTATTATTATATTAAACTACTGAAACAATATCTCTAATCAAATAAAAAGTTGGTTCATTGTGATGCCCAATTTACTTGTGTTGGCAATGTATTTCGGCCACCACATGGACATTTGAAGAGATGCCAATTGCTGGTCTTCGACTTTTGAGGTTTGAAGAATAATTTTTTTCTTTCTTTCCTGTCATTTATAACAAGCCTTTGATGTTAAGCCTTCATCCCAATGACCATCCATGCCTAAAGAACTTCAAGAGGAAGATTGTACACTTGTAGGGAAGGTTTGTTTGCACAGCCCTTGGGATGAAGAGATGTTGTTATCAAACTTATGTATAATTTATTTTATTTTATTGTTTATATTTTTTTGGGTAAATTACAGTGACACCCCCTGTGGTTTGCTCTATTGACAGCCAGATACAGCTTACCCCATTTTTTTGACAATGACACTCCCTCAGGTTTGCTCTGTTTGACAAAGATACCCTTAAGCACTATGTCACATGATAAAATGACCAGAATATTCTTTGACTTGTGAGTTGACTCATTTAAATATTAAAATTACAAATTCAACCTTTCTAGCTAATTTTAGTGGACCAAAGTAACCTCTTTCTTCTATAAAAGTCCAAACACAATTATTCATTTTCTCTCTCCATGCGCAAATTATACACACACATATATGACATATATAATATATAACATTAAAAATCACGTAGCGGAGAATGTTCTCTCCCATCTCTGCAAATTTAGCTTTTAGTTCATAACTCAAATATAATTTAATCTGAGACTTCAACAGTGAGTTTGATCCCAAATTTATTTCCATTTTTTTTCTTAATTAAATTATACAAAAAGACAGAAATTGTGTTTCGCAGGCTAAAATTAAGGAACTATTTTCAATAGTTTTCGTTGTCTTTTTTTTAAAAATATGAGTAATTAAATTTTGAAGGCATTCAGAAACATACACATCACACATTCACACATTACATAAATCCCTACAATCCACAAGCCCATGCTCACACCCCAAAACTACATAGCTATCCATACCCAAAGAACACTTTTAATTACATGATGAACAAGACATGCAACTGCGAATTGAGTAGATTTAGCACTACCATACAAACAAATACAAAGATACATATATAAACACACATATAAGCATCATGTACTCATGCTCAAAGAAAAAATTGCAGACCCATTTCAGAGAGGGCGTGGTGGAAGAGAGAGGAGGGGATTTTGGGTCCAAGAAGTTTGTTGTGGTAGTTGTTATGGTGGTAGAGAGAGATGGTGGAGGTGCACGTGACACTGACTGGAGCGGGTGGTGGTGGTGTTGTGCAACTTGCTGCCTTCAATTCTCATATCTCCTCTGCAAAAATAGCGATGTCATTTGGGTGACCATGGTTGTGTGTGTGTATATAAGTTGCAAGTTTATGACAACTTACACTTTTTTTTTTTCTTCATATTTACGAATTTCTACTGGGGTGATGGCCACTTAGGAAATACCTTTGAAGTTTGTGTCATGGAATCATAGTTTATGGTCCAAATAAGACTATAAGAGGCCCCATTAAGATTTGATCCCTTTTTTCTTGTAAGAATGTGTCGTGCAAGATGACAATTTACACTCTCATTGTGAGAGTGACGATTTCATCTCATTTGGGTTTAGAGACCATGTTTTTACAAAGTAGGTTAGAGAGAGAGAGTTGTGATGGAGGAGACACGATATTAGACAGAGAGAAAGTGTAGAAAGAGAAAGTAGTTAGAGATGGGTTAATATGGCTTGTTCTCAAATAAGGGCATTTCGGTCATTTAATGGTTATGATATTTTACATCAAATATGAATAAAATATTAAAGGGCAATCTAAACATTTCATCCTTTTTTAGACTTTGTTTGGATCCAAAATCTGACGGGTGTCATTGTAAAAAAAGTAGGCTAAGTTGTATGTGGCTGTCAATAGGGCAAACCACAGGGGTTGTCATTGTAATTAACCCTTTTTTTTTTTTATTGGTAGTTTAGCTTTTGTTTGCTTTGTGGAATGAGGCTGATTGAAGATATTTGTGTTATTAAAAAATTTCTACAGGTAGGATTTGAAGCTTCGTAGCTTCATGCTTAGATCTGCACATCTGCAGTCAAAATTTTAACTCAACCTTGTTGGTTCTCTAGAACATGTCATTGTATAGAATGCCTGAATGTTGTTGGATTTCCTATACCTTCAAGTTGGACTTGCAAAGTGATATGCTGGTCCAAATCAATTTTGCTTTAGGCTTTCAGTGAGTATTGCCGTGAAGATAAAATAGTTGTAGACAGAATGAAATGCCTTTTTTCTTAATAGGTAAACTATTGCACTAAAGAGTGGCAATAGGGGGCACTACCCAGTATAAATATGACATATTGAAAGAGGAAACAAAAAGAAAAAAATAGAAATAGGAAGACAAAAAATTTTACCCTCATGTTATAGTTTTACTTGAGAATCAAAAGGAAAGTAAAACATTAATGATTGCTGAAAACATAGGATACTCATTTTCATTCTCAATAACGTCTTTATGTTCCAAAACTGATATCTGTATCCCTCAAAATCAACATCTCTTGTGCTCCTCTCACTTGCACTGCCATAAAGATAATGTCACCGGTCACCACAAAATCCATGCCCCCCCTTTCATTTTTTTTTTTTTTTTTTTCAAAATTCACCACCATCTTTGCATAATCCACTGGGCCATTAGCAAAGAATAGACCATAGCTCCCTGACAGCAAATGCAAGAGCAATTGATTCACTCTCTTTATAGCTCTCTACCATACAACACCAGCACAGAAAAATGTACTCTCTATGCACCAAGTTTTTAATTATTAGAAACTTTTCCAAAGTTACTGTCTATCTAGAAAAGGACTTCTGACAGATCTTTGATATTTGAAATCAAACTGCTTACCCCGTCATCCTTGTTTGACCACAGTACTAATAGGCTTTTGTTAGAGCACGAACGGTATCTGTGGTTTTATCTATTTCCTCTAATAGCAAAGGTTCATCACTGTTTTGAGTCCTTGGATTGGGGAATTTCTCCTGTCAAGAAGGTATGGATTTCTTTATGTAGTCACATTTTGCTTCAATAGGTGAACAGAACTCATTACAGTTTGTTAATAAAAGCTGCTAGATTTTCCAAAGTAGACATGGAGTGGCGGCTGTTTTGGGACAAAAGCACTTTAGAATGACAATACCAATTTGTTAATTGAGTTTCATACGGCTAGGCAGGAATTTAAATATTATAACATATCATATTATATAGGCTGTTTGGAAGATGGTTTGATGTTGGATTACACCAAAAGTTCAGTTTTGCTGCTATAGGGTTGGAAAATTCTTAGAATTAGGTTTAAAAGGATAGAAGAATGGTTTTAGGATTTATAAAAAACAGATGGTTAGCATTAGCTAGGTTCTAAAACCAATTTTGTTGGAATTTCTGAAAATTGGTTATGGGAATCATGGATGACAACTATTTATAGGGTTTAAGGTGTTAAACTCAAGGCTGAAGGGTAAGGAGAAAGGTTAGGGTATGGATAAATAATTCGCGATGAAGGAACTTTGGGATTGAAATATACCATTCACCATTTATATTATATATATGTATGTATGTATGTATGTATGTATATATAACATTCGGCATTTGAAGAAATTTGGAGAACAATGAGGATCTTTTTTAAATCTTACCTAGAAAATAACGTGTTCAATGCTTATTTGAATATATATATATATATATATATATATATTTATTTATTTATTTAGTTATTTATTTATTTATTTATTATTTCAATGTGTATCCGATGCTTTTAGGGTACCTTGAGACACGTCTGATATGTCTTGAATTTTATAATGTAGCATTTCTAGTATGGTATTATAATATAATTGTTTGGAAGGCTTAACAAGGGCTTCAAATATTTGGAATTTTCTTAGAAAAAGCTCTGAGATGAAATGAGAATATATAATGTTTACACACACGCACAGGACATAGACACAGTACAACATGGATAAGTCGACACATCAAAATCTAAAAAAGTAGGACACGACATGACTATATATAGGTATGAAGTTTTATTTTATATGCATCTGTGGAGTAATTCAATTATAAAATTTTGATTAAATTTTAAATTCTATACTAGGGTTTACATAGTTTAGAAGACGAAGTTATGCAAATATTGTATAGGTTAATATATTATGTACACTACTATTCTCCTACTTTGTCATTATATTTCTGTTCTATATATAAAAAATGTTATACCCCCTCTGCCGCGGGGAAGCATTCATAATATGACTTGCGTTGTGGTATTTGAGATATGTTCTATATATAAAAAATGTTATTGAATATTGCTTGCGATGACCATGTGTATGATGTCTATTGTTCTAAACGAAAAAGTTTGAACGCTTTAAGGTGAGTAAATATTATTTCCAATATTATTGAATATGGCTACTCAGAGTGTCTTATTTATGACACGCGTTGTGGTGCTTGAGATATGTTCTGTATATAAAAAATGTTATTGCATATTTGCAATGACCATGTGTTTGATGTCTATTTTTCTAAAGGAAAAAGGTCTTTTTTCTAAAGGAAAAAGTTTGAACACTTTTAAGGCATGTAAATATTATTTCCAAGATTATTGAATATGGCTACTCATAGTGGGTGTGTTATATATGACTTGCATTGTGGTGTTTGAGATATGTTCATTAAGGAACTTGTAAATCCTTGGAGGAAATTGTTACTTTTTTGGAATCCTTGAGGTTCTAAATGCCCTATTTGGCCTTGTGTAGCTTTTGGGGGATACGTTTCCTTTTTGAACGCTTTTAATACAATTCTTACTTATAAAAAAAAAAAGATATGTTCATTAATGTCCAGGATGTGTTGGTTTAGTGTCCGAAATAATGAAATTTATTTTAAAATCAGAGACATGTCCATGAAATACCAGACACATGTCTATGAGTGTTTGTGAAGTGTCCGGTGTCTTGCACACATTTGGCACGGATAGAACACCTTTGTAGAAGTGTTCATGCTTCTTAGATGACAAACAATCATTTTTGTAAATTGATATATGCATACATATTTGTTCCAACTTTTATGCATGTATATATACATACATACATATATATATATATATCCTAGTTCATTTGATATATATTGTCATACCTCGTCATATCAATATTCTTTTCTTTTAGAATTGTTGTATTGCTGTAGATGTATTGTGTTGTATCTGTATCAATATCCACGTCTATGTTTCATAGGATAGTGGCCCATGTTGTTAAGGGCGCACGCCTAGGCGCAGGTCTAGCGCCTGTCATCCCAGGCTCAGTGATGTTTACTAGGAAAGCCTAAGCTTATGAGAGAAGGAACTTTTGTTCAAAAGAATAAACAAATAAACCCAAGAGACAAAGTGTCAACCGAACATAGAAAGAGTGAGACTGTGAGACCAATGACAAAGCCCTAGTTGCAGAGACGAACGATTAAGCAATGTCAGTTCTTTCTTCTTCTTCTCTCTCTTCTCCTCTCATCTTTGCTTACTTCTCTCTCTTTGTCTAGTTCTCTTCTTTTTATTTTTTTGGGCTCTGTTTTTTCTCCTTTTTCTTCACACTTTCTCTCTCTTCTCATCTACTTCTATCACTTCGTCTACTTCTTTTGTCGCTGTTTCTTTTTTTTTTTTTTGGGCTCTGTTTTTTTTCCTTATCTTGTTAACAGTTTTTTTTTTTTTTGGTTTTGGTTTTGGTTTTGTTAATAGATATGTTTCTTTTTGTGCTTTGTTTTTTCATTCAGAAAAACAAATTCTGTTTTGCTTTTCAAGAAAACAAATTTGTGCTCTGTTTTATGGTTCTTGAATTCTTATATATAGTTGATAGATTTACTTTTTTGTATTTGATATTAATTTTTAGAATATTGATACGACTTATGAGATATGAATGCTTTTATGGTAGTTTAAAATTTCAATTGTGCGCCTCACTAGGCTCCAAAGGACCTCTAGCGTCTTGGTGCGCCTTGAGCCTTTAATAACACTGTAGTGGCCACAATGGGATATCTTGTGTTCCAACATCCAATCTCTTTTTTTTTTTTTTTGGAGAAGTTCCAACATCCAGTCTAACCTCACCAAAGATGTAAAGCAAGGTTTTTGAAGTAAAACACTCTCTCTCAAATCCTAGCCATTGGTTTTCCTATATCACGTGTAAAAATCCAACCTAGTATCATCTGGTTACGTGGTCATGTGCTTAGCATGATACTACCTTTGTTGCATATTAGTAGTCCGCTATTCCCTTCTGGGATATCCCAAATTAGTTGTCCCCTTAGAAAAGTCAAAGCAAATAAATGTTATCTTTCCATCATTGTCCTTTATGTTTTCAAACATGGTAACTATACATATTTAAACTAAAAAGAACAAGTTTGTAATTTTAAAAGGCGACAATGCATTCATTGCATGTTCCTTTAAAACTTCTAAATCTAAACATGGAAATCTAATATGGAACGGAGGGAGTATTACTTAAGTGGACATGGATAGCGCTTACCCTATAAGGTTATAAAAAGGCCAAAATAAAATACGAAAATATAATTTACTGAAAATCAAACTATCACAGTTTCGCTATTATCTAAAACGAAAAGGAGTTAATGAAGTCCTAATGAGTAGTTACATCAGTTGTTTAATGGAAACAATGGTTGCCTTAGTTTTAGGAGCTAGCAACTTTTTAAGTGCTCCCATGACTTCGTATTTGGTGAAGAGCTCATTAAATACTAGTGTTTGAGTATCCTATCCCCCATGAACTATCATACCCTTTGTTTAGCGCAAATGCAAACATATTTTGATTTGCTTGAATTTGATTGAGTTGATAGTTTCTCTCTCAATAAACCATGAGATTTCTTGTCATAGTATTAAGACTGAAAGAGCTTTAGCCTAAAGTCTAGTAAAAAAAGTCAACACAAGCTATTTGTTGCCTTGTGGGCAATAAAGTGACATGGCTTAAATGTAAGGTTGGTGCTAATGTTTCTCGAAAGTTTGGTTTTATTGTGGTGTTGGTGTGTGATTGACCTTCTGGATGATGATGTTGATCTGAACTGTATCAACGAAGAGGATTCTCCACTTTAAATTTCAAATATCCTTGGTCAGTGTATCATTATAATTTTGGTTAGGGCTGCAAATAAACCAAGTTGTTTATGGACGGTTCGGGATAGACTTGTTTAATGTTCGGCTCAAGCTCATTCGTTAGTGAACAAGTCGAGCTCAAGCTTATTTTTGAGCTCATGTGGTAAACTAGTCCTTCTTGAACATTGTCTGGCTCACATGTTTATGAACATAGGCTCGGATCATGTAGGCTCGTAAGTGTTTATGAACATAGGCTCAAGAACATGTTCATAAACATAAGCTTGGTATAAATTTATGAATGTAAGCTCATGAACATAGGATTGTGTAAGCGTGCATAAGTTAAAGAACGAGTAAAAGTGATATTGAACAGTAAACACGAGCTTAGAGCTTTAAATTGAGCCTGAACACGAATATGATATCAATGCTGGTTTGTTTTATTAGATGAGTCAAACATGAGCTTAGCTTTTCGAGCTTGTCACGATCCCGAGCCAAACTCGAGCTGAACCCACAAACAAACGGGCTGAGTCCAAACACACTAAAGCTTTCGGTTCATTTGTAGCCCTAATTTTGATAAAAAATCCTTTTGAAGAGGAAATCAGTAGTGAACCGTGATTTTTCCCATTCAAGTTGGGCTCTGGTAGAATTTTTTTGGTTATGCATGTGTAGCCACCCATGCAAAATCTGAATGGGATGAATGCCAAGGATCATGATGGCGACAATGATGCATGTGCCTGTGTCACCGTCTTGTCTTTAGTTTAGTAAAGGTTGAAAACTTTTGGAGTGTTCTAAATTTACCATTTATTTGTATATATTTATATATTTCAATTTTGAAAAAATTGATATAATTACTGTGGTGTGTTTGATGGATTGGGGGGGGGGGGGGGGTCGAATTTTGAATAATTAATTCTTATATATATATTTTTATGCTTTTTATGTCAATGCTGTTATATACTTTTGGATTGGTCGAATTTTGAATAATTAATTCTTATATATATATTTTTATGCTTTTTATGTCAATGCTGTTATATACTTCTGGATTGAACAATTGCAAGCTTAATGTGTTATTTTGCTGTTTATCGTGCTCCAGCATGCCACCTTATCGTGTACCTTGTCATTCAGAGAACCACAGGACTGTTTCTCCTTTTATAGTTCACCAAGGCTATAATTGGGGTCTTGGGTTTTTTTTTGTGCCATAGTTCGTTATATTTTACAGATGCTCTACCTGGAGCTTGAACTGCAGGATTGCACACATGGTTTTGTGTTGGGCCTCCGGGGGACTTAGTTGACCATTTTTACATTCATTTCACTTCTCCCTTGATTTTTTTAGAAAACCATTATCTCTTTGTTTGGTGTCATGATGTTTCAAGTTTTCTAGTGCTATTAGGGATCTTGCTAGTAGAACAATTTTTTTGGCTTAAGATCCTATGGAAGCTGTCTCTTTATGCACCTTTATCAAGTTATAACAGGAATTCACATTGGAACTGTTTGAAAGAGTATATAGCTTACATTCATTGGCTGAAACATGCAACTATTATTAGAGTTGTTACTTTTTGTAGGATGGTACGTCCTCAAAACATTTGATGATGTTGTGATTAAATTTCTGTTTATATGGTAGATACATTATACTTATTTTAAAAAAAATTCTGAGCCTCAAAAGCAATCAAAAGAGTGCATTCAATTGGTGGATTGCATAATGTCATATGTATTACATTGTGCAAAGAAAAGAAAAAGAACTGTGGTTTCACTTGAATGTTTTAAGGTTCTTCTTCTTCTGTGCATTTTTACCACCCTCCAAGTACAGCTCAGAGGAGTCTAATTTGACTGTAGTAAGTTGGCCTTTTTGTGTGATACTTTGTGATGCAGAGCCTTCTGCAACCCTGCTGATGTTGAAGCATTTACAGAAGAGAAAAAGGAAGCTCTTCTAATCAAACGGCATGGGAAAGGTGCAGATTTTGTTCGTGCAGTGCATGAGATAATTGAAAGCTATGAGAAATCGAAGAAACGTGAAGAAATTGCTGATTTTAACTCTGGTGATGAAGTTACTGTGACAAATGCTGGAATTTCAGTGGAACCATTGTATGATGTTGGAGTGAAGGATCAGACTGAAGCTCCTGCAGCAACACTCATTTCAAGTCTAAGATCTTCATGTTCTTTTGGAGATAAAAATGAATCCATCATTCCAGTTGAAGATGTTGCAGCTGCAACACAAGCAGATGCTTTGCATAACGGGGAGGCGTCGTCTGAGGAGCTTACTGATAATTTGGTGGTTAATGAAAAACCTCCATCAACGAGTTATTCTTCAAGAAAAAGATCTGGAGTTATACAATCCCGAAGCCATGCCATGCAGAAAAGGGTGCCACATGCTCGAAGGTCTAGAAATTCATCAAGGGTTGAATTTCATAGACTCCAGAAGTTAATAGTGCCATCAAGTAATGGTAATAAGAGTGCTGTGGATGTACCCATCAATGCATTGCAGGATGGATCTGTGAGAAGGAGCAAACGAATCAGGAATTCACAAGATGTGACTGAAGTTCATGGTGCAGGTTCACCTGCTTTTGTTTCAAATGGTAGCATTGAAGAAAATGGCTCCGAGATTGTCACAGTTGACTCTGATACATTCAGTTTGAATGATGGGAGCACTGTAGAGTCCGGTTGTGAAATTCCGCAACCTGATTCTGCTGTTGAATGTTGTGAGGGAGATATTGAATTGAGCCAGACACTTGATTTCCAAACGAAGTCCAGTTTCATTAAGAAGAAAAGGAAGCCAAATAGAAAGCGAGTGAACAATGACACTATTGCCGGTCAACTTGACAATTTGGCAGGGTCGGAGATGGAAGTTCAAAGATCTGGACCAATTTTGCCAGATGCTCACGAAAGATCGAATGATAGATATCCGAAGGATGATGGTGATGAGCACTTGCCATTGGTGAAGCGGGCTAGGGTTCGGATGGGTAGACCATCATCTGCAGGGGGGGAAGTTGCTACCTTCATACAGTCAGAAGACAAATCCTCAGAAGTATCAAATAGCCTTTCTGAGCGGGTCTGCGTATCCGTAAATGCTGATAGAGATAGTCCTGCTGATGGAAACTCATTCACGGTGAAGGGGGTGCAGATGGATAGACCATCATCTGCAGGGGGGGAAGTTGCTGCCTTCATACAATCGGAAGACAAATCCTCAGAAGTATCGAATAGCCTTTCTGAGCGGGTCTGCATATCTGTAAATGGTGATAGAGATAGTCCTGCTGATGGAAACTCATTCACGGTGAAGGGTGTGATGGATCATTCATCACCGTCTAACAAATGCTGTCAATTTTATGTTAATAATCCTCGGCCCTTGGAAGGCAAGAAAGGCCAGCAAACTGGTAGTTTGGTGGATGATGAAGCAGCTTTACCTCCATCTAAACGTCTCCATCGTGCACTGGAAGCTATGTCAGCTAATGCTGCTGAAGATGGTAAAAAATGTTCCGGAGGACCATCTACCATGAAGACTTTCATTAATGGATCTTTTTCTTCCACAAGCGAGTGCTCTTACATGTCTATAGAAAGAAAATCACAGAATGGATGTCGAATGCAGAATGTAGACTCCTTTTGTAACAATGATTCTGAGGTTGGTATCTCTGGGTTGGCCACCAGTTCAAATCCGCCGGTACCAGAGGAAAGTGCAAAATCTTATATTGAAGTTGCAATTTGCAACATATCTCCCAGAACTTCTAATAGTCCAAAGTATGAGTTCCATGACATGCTTGATGAGGCTGTGGATTTTACTGATCGTAAAGATTATAGTGTGCGCTCTTTAGCTATTCAAACTGCTGAACCTGTGGTCGTCCAAACTCCAAAACTTTTGTCACCTAATCTGGCCAGAAATCAGGCTTGTCTGGGACACAATGAAGGTGCATTGGGTCAGATGTTGCCTTGCAAGGATGAATGCAAAAATGAAAATTCTGAATTGAGCAACCATAGAGTTGAAGAACCTGTTCAAGAACTTGATCCTTCAAAATATTTTAGGATGAGTTCATCTCCTGTCTCAACTGCTGCTGAAATTGCTAAAGTTTCACCACCAAATGGTGTGAAATTACTTCTGAACAGTGTAGATGGTACTTGTGAATCTACCAACTTGTGGAAGCTTCCCCTTGATGAGAACAACCAAGTTAATGGAATGTAAGCTTATGTACATATATGTGTCACCCTATAGTTTCTCTTATGCATGTCCATAAATTGTGTAACTAATTTCAATAAATTTATGGATTACACTATCTTACTCTTTAACTTTTTTTTTTTGTGGTGATTTTTTCGGTTAATTTTTTTATTCATTTATTTTCACTTCATAGTTATATTGTGCTTCTTGGTCTTAGGTGTGAGGTTGTGAAAGAGATTAAACCATCACAGAAGGATTCAAATACCATTTCATCTCCTAATTTGGTGAAGGTTTTGGTGGCTGCTGTCCAGGGCTCACCACATTTATCTCATTCTGTATCTATATCTGATGATCATTTGGATGATAAGGATGTCTCAGGTATTAGGTCATCTTCGTCTCCAACTGATGGTTTACACTCCCCCCCACGAGCATCTCCACCCAATACTTCAATTCGTCCCATGTCTGCATCAGATAATAGTAACTTCCTGGAAAATAATGGTGGTTGTAGTCCTGATGTTCAATTGCGTTATGATAAATCAAAAGATGTGGACAAATGGAACAATAAAGCAGAAGTAACTGCTGCTTCTCTGGCATCGTTTGAAGCCATTCTTAGAACTTTAACAAGGACAAAGGAGAACATTGGTCGAGCTACGCGCATTGCCATAGACTGTGGAAAGTTTGGTACTGCTGCTAAGGTATGTTTATATCATTTTTGTTCTAAATATAACCGGTACTTTGTTTTACCTAGTCAATTGCTTCCAATATTTCTGTTGCATAGTAGTACAGTTTGAGTGTTTGACAACCACATGGTAAGTAGTATAATTATGCCCTTTTATTGTTTTAAATTAAATTTCTCTAGACATGCCCCTCTGGACAGCTACATTTTTTTTTGGGCATGAGAGATGTTGATTATGGTGCTTATTTCTGTATTTGTCATCTTGGTTGTGTCTCCTGGATTCCCTTTCTATTTCATAGTTCGCATTCACCTTATGAAAATTCTCTTTTCATTATATATATATATTGGTACTCTGCAAAAATGTTTAGGCTCTTTAAAACCTTCATTTTCTAGTTATTTATTTTACTGACCTGTTCAGTTGGTGTTTGAAGTAATTAGAAATTCACATAAGATTCTTAAAACTTTTCGGAATGGAACGGTTTCATTTAAAAAGTGAAATTTTGGTTGTCTGGAATGCATATAGATTCTACAATGGGATTTATATTTCTATAGATTTATATCCCTTTTGAAAATTCCTTCTAAATAGCTCGAATTTCATGGAATTCAATTTTAATTAGAGAAGATTATTTACTCTGTACATGGAATGAAGGGATTTGACGGAAAAAGGGGAGGATTTTGGTATTAAAATAGAATTTCAGGTGTCTCGAGTGTAGAGATCTCAAATAGGATTGATTTGGATGCTTTTGAATCCTATCTGAAACCTAAAATGGTGTGGTTTAACTTGAACAAAGTTGTATTTTAATTAATGTAATCTTGTTTTACCCTTTTATCCTGCTTTCTTACAGCATGAAGGAAAATATCTTCTGTACATGCTTTTTATTCCATAGAACTCTATCTAACTTTAAACAACAAATAGTGATTTGTTTCTCAAATCTCTTTCTTACGAGATTTGGTTCTAGTTGTTTCAATTCTGTTTTTTAAGTACATGTAATGGCAAAAGAGTCAATATGCAATTATTGTCTGATAAATATTTAGTACCAAATGCAAAAAAAAATAATGTTCGAAATGATTAAAGTTCCCTTTTCATTTTTGACACTCTTTTCTTTTTAAAGGGATATATGTATGATGATTAGGACCCCAATATTTGACTTGTTTTTCTTCTTCTTGTATATATAGAGAACTCATGGAAGTACTTTGCCATGTAGTGTAAAGTTTGGAAAGATAGAGATTTATAAATTTAAAATTTATGGGTTACACATTGAGACCCAAAATTTTTAGATTAGATGTACACAGTGGAATTTGTCAAAGAATTGGCCCATCTTCAGATCATTGTGTTAGCATTGTTTCCGAAGGAGGTACTAATAAATTGTTTAATTTGAGCTTGTTTGAATTCAGTCTGAAGCTCATCAAATAGCATGGGGGAGCACTAAATGTGGATAGTGATCCAAAAGTGATGAATTGGAATTTAAGCTTACGGGTTAGAAATTGTGGTACCTAAAGATTGTTTCGGCTGATTGTTATTAAAATTTTGAAAGGATAATGAACATTTAGAGAGCATTGAATTATTTGACAGAAGTGAATTATCAGAAAATGAGAGGATTGAAAGATCTGAGAAATTTTAGTGGGTTACTTGAGGTATAATGATTTGCAAACTAAGAGAGCTCTGAGCGATTTGGCCTAACTGAACAGACAACTTATCAGTCTTGTAGACTATGCTGTTCTCTCTCTCTCTCTCTCTCTCTCTCTCTCTCTCTCTCTCTCTCCCCTTTCTATACCGGAATTTATTATGTTTTGTTTGATTAAGGTGGTTCCACTCCTTAAATCTTAAAATACTGTTTCAAATTCTCTTCTTGTTTTTGCGTGTGAAGAAGACCCATTTTATATTAAGTTTCAGGAGGTTTAGAGAAATGTGATTTGCCCATTAATGACGAGTTTGATTGTTTTTCTCATTTCGTTTTTGTTTTTGTTTTTTGTTAAAAAATTAGTAAAAATGGCTGAAAGGGGAAAAAGAGGAGGTGGTACTGCACAAGTCATTTTTTTTTTTCCTAGTTGGTAGTTGGTTGGTACTCACACACCCCACCTCCAAGGAATTGTTTGCACTCAATAGGAGTTGAACCTTAGACATGATGCTTCCTGAGGCACTAGGGCCGAGTGACTTGCCCACTCGAGCCAACCCCTTTGAGTTGCACAAGTTTTTTTTTGGTTGTGAACTAAATGGTTTAGTTGTATTAAGGACATAGGTAATACAATATTAGTTAGAAAAAATGAGATAACTAGGTAGATGGAAAAATTACTTTCAAAATCTATTAATTGAGGAGTACATTAGAGAGGAAGTTGAGGTGAATGAATTTAATATAGGAATTGTTACGACAAACGCAGCAAACCAAGAACAAATCACGAATCAAGACTGAAAAGTAAACATGCCACCCACAAAAAACACAAAGATCTAGCGTGGTTCGACACAAGTTGTGTCTACGTCCACGGTGAAGATTTGACGAATATTTTCACTATGTGAAAAATAGGAGATTACAATTTTCAGCCACCAAACCCTTGCTGTCACTCTCTCTCATTCGATCTACAATTTTCATGTTCTCTGCATCTCCCACTCCAAACCCTAAATGCCCTTATATATTGAGCTACAAGAGATTATTGAACAGGGTTCACAACCGGTAAGAAAAAAACGGGTCCAAAATTTTTCCTTGGGGGCGTTGCCCCTCAAACCCCTGAGCTTTGGGTCCACACAAAGCTCGGTCATCGGGTAAAAAATAGGTTGAAACGCAACCCAGAACCAAATTCGGGCAACAACATCATAAACCTCTACCTGGGCTCAAATTGCCCAAGTTCCGCAATCTCCAACTACTCCTTTCACCTCTTCAACATGCCCCTAAGGGCCTCAACAGCTGCAAATACCAGTGTGCTCGAATTGATGTACTAATGACTTAAGTCATCATATCCCCCGGATCTTCTGCTATCCTAATCTTCTTCAATTATTGAAGTGCAACCTGACATCAATGTGCTTGGTCATCTCAAATTACCAACCAGGCCTCTTAACCATATAGCTTCCTTCATGGCCTCTGTAGCTGCGCTGCCATGTACTGCAAAGTCGCCTTCTAACTGATCACACTCCCACAAAGAGTAAAGATATACCCAGTCAAGGACTTCCTTTCAAGATTTCCAGCATAATCTGAATCAATATATCCACAACACTTCCACACGTTGCCTCTGTCATATAGACTAAGCCAACCAACTTTTGTAGTGCCATCACAAGTACCACAATGCCAATGAACCCTCTAGGTCTATCCATGTATCTTCTCACTACACTAACGTGAAATGTTTGGCCTAGTGCACACCATAGCATACATGATGCCACCAACTGCACTAGCATAAGGAACACGAGACATGTGCTCTACCTCTACCAGTACTTACAGGTTTTGATGCTTGCATATCGAAGTGTTCCAACACATTCTCAGTGTATTTCCTCTGTCACAATACAATCTGCCCACTGTTCTATCCCTGTGAATTTCCATCCCCAATCCTCTTCGCGGCACCAAGATCCTTTCTTCTCAAATTCACTAGAGCCTTCAATGTTGATTTCAGACATGTTTCTGCAAGTTATCAAAATATCATCAACATACAGCAACAAGTACAAATACCATCTGAGAGCCTCTTGTGATACACACAACTCTCAAACTCACTCTTACAGTAGCCACTCCCAACCATAAAGGTGTTGAATCGCTCGTACCACTCTCTTGGAGATTGCTTCAGCCCATAAAAGGAGTTCTTCAGCAGGCAAAGATGATATTCCTTTTCCAGAATCTTAAACTCCTCATGCTAATGCATATAAATATGCTCTTCCAACTCACCATGCAAGAAATCAGTGTTGACATCAAGTTGCTCAAATTCCAAGTCATACTGAGCAACCATTGCAAGCAACACCCTGATTAAGATATGTTTCACCACAGGAGAAAAAACATCATTGAAGTCTACCCCTTCCCTTTATATATGGCCCTTCGCCACCAAGCGTGCCTTAGATCTTGCATCTTCCACTCCTTGGGCCCACACAAAGCTAATCATCGGGTCGTTGGGTCGAAAACCTGGAACCAAATTCGGGCCACAACATCGCAGGAATGATAAACAGGTTTACCAATAAAGTAGAGGACACACTTAAGAAGATGGGGAGTAGTAAATAACGGTAATCCCATATAATATACCCATAGAAGCTTGGAGAATGTTGGGGAATTGAGTGGCTAACAAAATAGTTCGAACTACATTCTAAAAGAAGGTGCAGTGCCAAATGAGAGGAGGAAAAGCACAATAGTACCAATTTACACAAATAATGGAGATGTAATAAATTGTGGTGATTATTGAGGAATTAATTAACGAGGCATACAACGAAACCATGGGAAAGGATTAATAAAGATTATGGAAGGAATTCACAGTATCCAAAAACCAATTCAGATTCATGCCGAGGAGATCAACAATGGAAGCTATATATTTTACTTAGACAATTAGTTGAAGAGGGTAGGAGTAAGCAAAACGATCTACATATGGTTTTTGTAGACTTAGAAAAAGTGGATGATAGGGTCCCAAGAGATATAATTTGGTGGGCTCTACAAGGAAAACAAATTCACGTGCAAATAATGAAAGAGTATTCAAGATATGTATATGAACACAAAAACTAGAGTTTGTACTTGTGGTGAAATTAGTGAGTTCTATATAAATATAGGATTCCCCCAAGAATCGATGTTAAGCCCATTCTTATTTGCAATAATTTTAGATGAAATAACAAAAGAACATCTCAGGGTGCATGATGTTTGCCAATGATATTGTGTTAGTAGATACTTCTAAAGAAGACTTGGCAATAAAATTAGAAATATGAAGAAATGCTTTAAAATCAAATGGATTGAAAATAGTTGAACTAAAACGGAATATATGGAATGTAAATTTAATAAAGACTCGTTTCTTGATAATATAATGATAATAACACTTGATAACTGGAGGATTATTCAAAATAATCACTTTCGCTATTGAGGATCAATTATATGAAAGGATTTATTGATATATAGCAATATAGCTAGTAGAATTGGATCGGGGTGTACAAAATGGAGACAAACTAGTGGCATCTTATATGATAAAAGAATAACACATAGGTTAGAAGGATAATTCTACAGGACATTATTAGGCTAACTATGCAAAATAGAGCGGAGTGTTGGGGCGTGCCTTTGACGTCTTCATGTAGCGGAAATGAGAATGTTAAGATGGACGGTTGGAGTGACTAGAAGAGATAAGAGGTACAAATGAAAGTTAAGAGAAAAACTAGGTGTGGCCCCCATTAACAAGAAAATAAGAGAATAGACTTAAATGGCTTGGGCACGCACACCGAAGACCTATAGATTATCCATTGAGAAGAGGAAGTTTAATTTCCATAGAAGTTAAGAGACGGAGTGGGAGACCAAAAGTTACATGGAATGAAGTTATTAGAAATGATTTTAAAGGATAAACATAGTAGGTGATATTGCGGGTAATAGAAAGGAATGGAGACAGATTTCATGTGGCCGACTCCATTCATATGGGAATAAGCCAATGATGATGATGATGGACTAACTTGGTTCTTCTTGGTGGCGGCTCAGAGGGAGTTGGAACTATGTTATTGGAGTTGGAATTATTGGAAAGTTTTTTTTATTTTTTATTTTATTATTATTATTTTTTTTATGGATTTTGTAATGAAAACAATGCAATGACATGTTATGTTAAAGTTATTTCATTTAAAAACTGTTAGTCTAATTTTACATGAGATGGATGCTTGTTGTTGCATCCTCAATCCTTTATTTTTCTTGAAACTTGTCATATACTGTTATATGCTTCATTCTTACCACATGGGTTCATTTAATTGCATCAGTGTGTTTTTTACCCAAATCTACTTTTTTTTTTTTTTTTTTGTCTGTATCATACAATTAGATCATCTGATGACTCAAAATTTAAAATAAAAAAAAAAAAATTATAAATATCACAATATTACAAGGAGTTGACAATCTCCGAGAGTACAAGAACAGTAGAATGAAAAGATACTATGGGGAAAATCAATTTGGTTATGTGTGGGTGATAGAATCAAGGATGAAGAAATAAAGTAGGAGAATTGAACTAGTATGAACACTAGTAGCAGAATGAGGAGAGAATTTTGCTAAAATGGAATATTTTTGGGGGACATGACTTCTAATATTGTATTTTGCCTTAGTGGCTGGCCGATTGAGTTAGCCAGCTCTTTCCTTTGTATGCAATCACAAAGTATCTCGTCAATCAGGAATGTATTACAATCCGCAATATTACTTTTCTACAGGTAACAAGTTCTTTTTTTTGGTAAATTTGTTTCCCACACTCATTTGTCCCATTAGGCACTTGTACGTTTCATCTGGAAGGAGGAAACACTCAAATTCCTTTGGTAAATAACAAATTTCTTTGCTGCGTAAGAGTTGATATGTATTTATTTTCCTTTAAGTGGAGAAAGACTGTTCGGTATCAGTTTTAGAGTTGCTCTTTGCTTCAGTGAAATTTAATTGTTTAAATGTGAGAATTTGTGGATTAGCTTAGGGTTTCCATTTTTGTTAGGTGTGATAATCAAAAAATGGTGAACAAAGATATGAATGGGTTACTTTTTGCAATGGATTGCGATCTTCCTTTTATTTGTTATTATTGTTTTTTTCGTACCCCAGAATACGGTTTTTTTTTTTTGGGCTGGTAAGAATGGAGTGAAACTTTGGCTTGTTGAATCTATTTTTTCACATTCTTATGGGTAACAGGTAGTTTCATGTTTGAGTTTTGGTCCATCATCTTTTAAACCCTTAGCTTATCACTCTTAAGATTTTCTAAGCTAATTGGGGGAACCTGAATTCCATGACGAGAATGGAAAAAAAAAAATACTATAATGATATTCAAGGGAAATGATACTGACTGTGTGAACTCTTTTTGTTTTCTTCATGTTCGTGCGGGTAATTGCTATTTACTCAGTTGTAATGGACGATACATGTGTATTAGATCTCAGGACTTTCTATAATACAGGTGGTTGAAATTCTTGCTCGTAATTTGGAAAGGGAGTCAAATTTACACAAAAAGGTGGACTTGTTTTTCCTCGTTGATTCTATTACCCAGTGCTCTCGAGGCTTGAAAGGTGATGCATTTGTTATTTTACTGTATCACAACTGACTTCTGAAGTCCGTTAATGTCTTTTCCTCTGTGTGGAATTTTGTTATTCTAAATTCAAGTTCAATCCCCAGGTGATGTTGCTGGTGTATACCCTTCGGCAATACAGGCGGTGCTCCCCCGCTTATTGTTGGCTGCTGCTCCTCCTGGAAGTAGCGCACGCGAAAACCGTAGGCAGTGTTTGAAGGCAAGCAATGCTTATATAAATATTCTCCTTCTCCAAACCCCCCCGCCCCCCTTCTCCCACACACACCCACCCACCCAAAACACACACACACCCCCAAAGAAAAAAGGAAAAAAGAAATTAATCATTACTCCTCTTTTGCTTGATAGGTTTTGAGGGTTTGGCTGGAAAGAAAGATCCTTCCAGAGTCCATTATCCGCCACCATATTCGAGACCTTGATTCCTTCAGTAGCTCATCTTCTTCTGGTGCCTTTTCTCGACGCCCTTTACGAACAGAAAGGGCTTTTGACGATCCTCTGAGAGAAATGGAGGGTACTATCGTCAATGAATATGGAAGGTGTGAATTTGTATCCCTTTTTTCTTTAGACCATTTTCATTGAACAAAATAGACCATGCAAGATGTGACTTTTTTGAATCCCTATCAGTTTTAGATAAATAACATTTCTGTATTATAAGTTATTGAGTCTTTATCTTATTGCTTCAGCAATTCAAGTTTTCAGCTTCCTGGTTTCCGTATGCCCCCTATGCGCAAGGATGAGGACGAAGGAAGTGATTCTGATGGAGGGAGTTTTGAGGCTGTTACGCCGGAACATAACTCTGAAACCCCTGAAGAACAACAAAGAACTGTCATACCTGCAATTGAAAAACACAGACACATCTTGGAAGACGTTGATGGTGAGCTTGAAATGGAGGATGTGGCTCCCTCTTTTGAAACTGATTTGAATGTTGCTGGAGTAAATTCTGCACAGCCTTCACATCATCAGTTTGAACAACAATTTCCACAGCCCTTTGCCCCTCCACTACCTGATGATGTCCCACCATCATCTCCTCCTCTACCAACTTCCCCACCTCCACCCCCACCTCCACCACCTCCTCTCCCGCTGTCTTGTTTGTCTAATCCTGTTAGTAATGGTGTTGATGCGAAGCTATTCATGGGTACACATGTGGGTTGCAACACTTCATTTTGTTATCGTTCTTTCTTGTTATTGTTACTGTTCGTTTGGAAGTGGCATAGTTTCTAATGCAATACTTGTTTGTTTCGTTTTGATTTGGCATGCATGTGCAGAATATCAAGGAAAACTTGCAACAATCTAACCCTCAGCAGTCTATTGCACCAGGAATCAGCTCAACAATCTCGGATACAGTGCATTACCGTGATCCTAAGTGCAGAGATCTTCAGATGCAGATGCATATACCGGACTCTGGAAGCTCTTACTCTTTCAGCAGTGTTCCTATCTCCCATCCTCCAATTCAACAGCTGAACAGTGTTCAACCGACAGATGGAATGACCTTGGAAAATAAGGCTTACCATCTGAGGCCACCTCATCCAGCACCATCTAATCAGTTTTCTTATGTTCAGACAGATCAATCAGTGCAGTCACGGAGGGAGGTACCACCCCCTTCCTTCCCTAACAGATTCCATTTTTTGCCGAACAGAGAAGGAAATTTTTACAGTGACCATGATAGAATGAAATTAGCCCCACATGATCCTAGTGAGAGCTGGAGGTTTTCAGTGCCTTCTTTTTCTGGTAAACTTCTTTAGTGAGTTCAGCCCATTAATGGATTTTAGATCGTGGCATGCCATTTTTTGCTTTTGTGTTTTTCTAATTACTGGATCTTTTTGTATCCTTGCCTCAGGTTCATACTATCCTGACAATGCCATGGCATCATATGGACCTGCTCCATACCCTGGCCCACCTTGTGAACCAGCAATACCAAATTATAGGTGGGGTTTCCCTCACCGTGCTATAAATCATAGTGAATTTATACCTAATAGACCACCCTCCGAAGGTCCAATTCCAGTGGCAGCCAAAGGTGTGTGTTTACCCCATCATTTATTATTATTTTTAGAAACCTGAAATTGTCTGAATGCTGTATCCTGTTTGTCTTGCCACTGCTCTTAAAGCGTATTAATAGTTGGACTAAGAATACGTGGCTCTGATTTAGCTTGTATACCATTGTTGCTAGAATTTGTCTTCTGATTGCTTTTTGGTGATTCAGCTCAAAGCTTTTGGCAACCAAGATAAGCCGTCATCATGGAGCTACAGCTACTAGTATGTTATCTTTTTTCATGTTCTTTTGGTAGAATTATGGGTGATTAAAGTATTTTTATTTATTTTTCATTTTTCATTTTCTGCATATTAATTACATTATGGTCTCTATGCTTGCTAGGTATGGCCTGTTTTGTTCTCTGGGTCCTGCGGCTTGTTCAAAAGTTGTGAGATAATTTTATTGTCAACTATTTACAGAAATTTAAGGTTCAATCCTCAGAGGAGGGTGTGACGCCATGGACTGGCATGCTAAGTGTGTGATTGTATATATGTATTGTATCATCTCTTTCTGCTGCTTATACAGTGGAAAAATGGTTCCGGCAAAGACTGGAAGGAGCTGTAACCTATCTCTGGACTGTTGACTTCTTTTCATGTATCAGTTGTCTTTTTTATAGATTTTAGAAAAATTAGTATTTTTTTTTTTTCTGAAGCCCCTTGATAGGATAATTTTTTTGTTAGTTTTTGGGCAATTTGGTAGGAGCGTCCATTTTCAATCCTGTATTTTACTTTTCTAGGAGCTTCTTCATCCAACAGTTTGAAATTCTTTCTGGTAGGTACTAAAAGTTCCTTTAATATATTTAGTACAACATTGTAAAGAGTTTTGACCTGCATAGCTGGATCAAATGGTCGAAATTGTAACAATATAATCATTGAAGAGTCATTTATTCTCTAGTTTGATGGGATGCCCATTTCTTTAATAAGATAGAGCAATTAGCTGCTGGTTCTGTGTTTTGTTTTTGGTTTGATTTTGGAAAGTGATTGGATCTCTAGTTCAACTAAGTTTGTTGGTACTTTTTTGTGTTCTCTATGGTATTTGAGTTGATTGATAAACTAAAAATATCATATTGATTGTGTTTTTCCAAAACCACCACCCTCTTGTAACATGTCTTTTAACTTCTTCATCTTATTTATTATTTTATTATATTTTTTATTCTTCTTTTTACTTTTAGGCCTAACCCCAAACTTTTTTATTTCCTTGCTCGTGCGTGGAATAGATGTTTTAAGGTCTAACATAAAGATATAATAGTATAATAATATATATGGCATACATGTTTAGCTGCCGTGTGCGGTTCCTTTTGCTCTGACAACTGGCACATATGTTTATTGTTGACAATCTTGACACATACGGTAGCATGATGTCAAAGTTTGTTTCTAAAGGCGGTTCATTTGGGTCTCCTACCTGTTTTTTTCACCAAAATCTCTTTTGTAAACGGAGGTTTCAAAAGTCAATTGATTAGGTGGGAGCTGTTTTGATTAGTATTTTAAAATGGAGGTGTTATCCCTTTCTCAAGTCCCTTTAGCATGAGTACATGTGGCGGATGAAGATGATTTTGTTTAACAATTATGGCGTATTTTAGTTATTACTAAAAAAAATATAGGGTATTCTAGTTATTTTTTATATATAAAAAATATATGGTGTTTAACTATTATATATATATTTTCCTTCCATTCCTGTACCTAGAACTCTCTTGTACAAGTAAATATAATATCTTTCTAAATTTTTTTTTTCTCTCTCATCATTGATAGTATTTCTCTTTAATTTTTTTCTCTCTAAAACAAACCTTAATAATTTTTTTAGTATCAACAGAGAGCACAACTCGAGAAGAAGACGTTGCTTTACCTACTCCAAAAAATCAGCATTCCAATTTCAACTTCTTCAAGAAGATCAAGAGAAAAAGTGAACAACCAATTAAAAAATTTCGGTATAAATAGATAAAAATAATAATAAAAAAAAAGATATGTGAAAAGTAGAGAGAAAATTAGATAGAAAATTAATCAATTCTATGACTAATTTCATTTGTGTGGATTTATTTATTTTTTATCTATAAATTTTTACACTTAAATATTCCTTCTTCAAATTTTAACCTGTACACTAATACAACACCCTATTCCTAAATCCATATGAATTCCGATAAAATTTGAATCAACCCCAGTAACTAATTAAGCAGGTCCACGGGCAGTACAAGGTCAATATAGGGAGGTTGTTGCTGGAGATATGAGAAATAAGATTGAAGAAAGAGACCGGGGTGTGTGTATATATATAATTATACAAAGTATTGTTATGTTATGACTTTAATGATTATTTTGATTTTTACTTTTTTTTTATTATTATTTTTGTTAAGACGGAGTTATAAAGTAAGATTAATTTTATATATATATATATATATATATATATATATATATAAATATATTTGTTTCGAAAGCTTAAAAAAAAAAAAAAAAGTTAAAACAATTATGCATACACCCTACCTCGATTGAGATTTAAACTGTGAACCTTCTTTTTAAAGGAGAAGGGGTAATATTGTTGGGCCATTTAGTCTTTTAGTATTAAAAAAAAAGAAGAACAAAGAGAAGTAAATGTCCATTTTGTATATTATGACCCTTAAATTAAATATGCCACGGGATCCTGAGACCCAGGCATTATAATATGGATTAATTCAACTGAATGAAATGAAGACCCCACCAATTCGTCGTGAATTTCTTCTCCTCCTCTCATCTCAACTGTTACTAGAAAATAATTAATTATTCAATTTCATCTTCCAAAATACTAATTACTAGGAATAGGATCTCCTTCAAGTGGTGGCGGTGGTTCCTCTAGATCTTGAAATTTTGCAATAACAGACACAGAAATGGGTGCTTCTCAATCAGTTCCAGAAAATTCTATCCATGAATTCACTGTCAAGGTTATTCTTCACATACTTTTCTCTCTCTCATATATATATATACACACACACACACACACGCACATATACATATGCAAATCGTTTTTCTTGGAATTCTCAGAAAGCTTGATTTTGTTTAGTGGTGCAGGATAGCAAGGGAAAGGATGTGGAACTCAGTATTTACAAAGGAAAGGTTCTTCTCGTCGTCAATGTTGCTTCCAAATGGTTCTTTCCTCTTTTTTTATCCTCTTTTTAGTTACGTTGGAAAAAGAAATCTTTTTCTAACCCTAATTTTCTCTTGTTTTTGATACTGATTTTGAATTAATTTTGTGATTGTTATGTATGTGGCGACTCAAACAGCGGCCTCACAAATTCGAACTACACCCAGTTGACTGAACTTTACAACAAATACAAGGATAGAAGTAAAGATTCTTTCCATTTTCGGTTCCCTTTCTTTTTCTTTTATTTTAAGAATCTTTTTATAATTCTCTACCTTTTGAGTAACTATAAAATACCCATTTAAAATTTTGTTTTAACTTGGTTTCTGCTATTTGGTATATCATTTTTTACATCTTTCATTGGCATGCTGTAATTTTCAATTTGGGCGGTGTCATTCGTTGAGACCCGAAATATTTGTATATCCATGCACTTATATATTATATATTTGTACGAACTTTGTTGGTTGGTTTCAGGTTTTGAGATATTGGCCTTTCCATGCAATCAGTTCTTAAAGCAAGAACCTGGTACAAGCCAGGAGGCACAAGAATTTGCTTGTACAAGATACAAGGCTGAATATCCAATTTTCCAAAAGGTAACCAGTATCATAGGATATTAAGATGCTATCCAATTTTTACATTTTGTGCTTGGTTGGTACTTTCTAGGTTTGTTGGATATGGAACAACATATTATTGTGCCTTCTAATTTTATCGATCATAAACTCATGCATCATGTTACAGTGACTTTCTGTGATGCATTATGATCCCAATAACTATGACATGGTTCTTGACATCAGCCTTGTAATCACTTGATATGATTTTTGACACTCTGCTGTAATCCCTGAGATCATAGTGTGGTTGTGCACATGTGACACCTCAGCAATTACTGTGTGGTTTGATCAAGCATTGTGGTCTTTCAGTTATGGTGTGAACATTTGGTGTTGCTTTATAATCCAATTAGGAATACTTGGGTTTTCTTGGTTTAGTGGTTTAAGGGAAAGTAAAGATGTGATATGAGTTGCTCGTGTTTTGTCATTAGCAATTTAAGTAATGATTGGGGCACACATAATTTTTTGGATTATGTCTCAATTAGGTTATCCGAGAGACAGGATAACATGACAGTTGAATCCTCACTAGCTTGTGTATGTATAACATTGAATATTATTCAATTGTAAGTGGTCAAGATGAAAGTACTCCAATTTTGATCTCCAAAGCATTTTCAATCTCTCTCTTTTTGTATCCCACCTTATATCTTCCAAAAGCTACATTCCAATGGTTCTGCTCTTCAGATCATGAGAGTTAACACTTAATATTTCCGATCTCTTACGTTCACAAACTGCACCTGAAAATCAATGTCTGTAATGTGTTACATGTCATTGAACTTATTGCTTCTTTGAGTTTTCTATCGCGGCTAATAACTTTACATCCTTTAACCTCTTGAGGATCTCATTCCTAAGGATGTGATCAATCCAGACATCCTAGAATATATAAAGAAATGGATGATTCTTAAACTCTATGGATGAATAGGGATAAATGTTGCGCTTTGTTGTGAGTTAAAAGAGAAGATTTGGATTGGCCAGAGTTGCATCCTCCACTTTTGCCTCTGGATCAATGTCAAGGGTCTTTCAAGACCTCTGTTCTCATCATCATGTCCATTCACATGTTGCCCGCCACATGAATTCACCCCACCCAAAATTCTTTTCAATTATAAGCCGTATCACTAGTTATAACTAATTTCTTAAGGTATTTTTTAATTATTTCATCCCATATTAATTCTGGTTTACCTTTGTCTCTTACCTTCTATTTCAATTAATAGTCCTTTTTTTTTTTTTTTTAATTGGTGCATTTTATGGTCTATCGATGCTCTGACCCCATCCAAGCCTACAATCTCAAGTGCCACAATCAATCTCTCTCACATGTTCATTGCTAATTCTGTCCCTTCTAGTTATCCTATCGTCCATCTCAGCATTGTCATTTCAATAACATGAATAGGTTGTTCTTGTTTCTTTGTCAGTGCTCAACATTCTGCTCCATATAAGATGGCTGGTTTGATAACAATCCTACAAAATTTCCATTTCAACCGATTTGATGTTCTTTTATTACATAATATACCACTAGCTTGTCTCCACCCTCTCAAACCCTCTCCGATTCTACTTATTACATCATTACATATCTACCCCTCACTTTGTAATATAGAACCTAAATGTGGAAATGATTATTCTGAGTAATCCATTGATCTTGTAAGGGCGTTTGGTCTCAATAAATTGTTCTGTCTGGCTCCCAAAATGGGCCCTCACTCTTTTGTATTAGGAACAGTTTAATTTTTTTTCTCCTCCCATCACAGAATCATGCCAGTCATTCTTTATCTCGAACCTGAAAATTCAACCTTCCAAAGAAAACCTTGAGAAGAAAATTGGTAATTTCAAAATGATCATTCTGGTTTTCTAAGTTAATTGAAACTGAAAATGAAGGAGATCTCCCCAAGTACTCCTTATACAGTAGAGGCGTCATTATGACACACCTTGAAAGGTTGTCCCCTAGACTCCTGGATGATATTGATGGCTATCATCAGGCATTAAGAAAACAACACTCTAGCAGATGTGGTTAAACCAATATGCCCTTTCATCTATCGCATTTAGTAAGCAGGTATGTCAGCTGGCACCTTGTCTCCCACATGATATGCATGCACTGTCAGCATATGAGTATCTTGTGCGTGTTGGACAAAATGTGGATACAATATCCCACTTCGCTCGTGTCATCAAGACCTCAGTCCTCAAGGCACACTCCTCATGAGCCTCTACAATGATGGGCCACAGACTTGACCTTGCCGCGTGCTGCTTCTTATAATGATATGACTCTCCACACTTGGACTGGCATACATTCCCTGCCGTCACATAATCCTCCAGAGGATGGCACATATTTTGTCTCCCTTGAACTAAAACTCCACACATGGGACAGAAGTGGGGTTTACCATGCTTGGGACTCACATATGGCTGAAGCCATCTTCCAAACCAATCAAGCTCCAAGAGGCTCAATCACTTTGCTTTGCATCACCTTGTCCCATCAAGTTAGCTTCATGGAACGTGTACCTCAATGCATCTTATGCCTACATGGTTAAGGCCCAGGGAACTCCCTGAACTTGGTAAGTTGTCAAATGTGACCTCGGCCTTGCATCGCATTGGAGGGCATTGTAGGATCTTATGTGTTTTTGACTGGGCAACTGAAATCAGAGGCTTGCCTTGGTGTGGTTTATCCATGGTCTACATGTTCGTCACGTCTTGCACCTTTTACACATAGAGTCTGTTGGAAATATTTCTTATGATTCAGTGTCTGTTTAGCATTGTTGTCCTGACACTTGCTATCCTATGCTTTCCTGTACTACTGCAAATAGAGGGTTTCTCCTACCTCATGAAGGGATATTTTCTGGAGGACAATGCTACAAAGTAGGGACTGAGGGAGGATTGCAGTGAACTCAAGATTGTTATCACTGTTGGATATCTCTCCATCACTCACCTTCTCGGTTTTTACCCTATCCCAATTTTGTGGATCTCCTTTATCTTACATGTAATACCACCATCTCTGCAACTGGACCCCCTAAAGTAAACTCATGCTCACCAGTTGTATGGGCTTCGCATTTAAAAGGCTGGATTACCAAGTCATGTTATGGTAATGTTGTTCTACTACAAATTCTGAAGGATCACGACATGGGGAGAGTTTTTTGACACCTATCCTTTTATTGGAGTAATTATTATTATTGGAATCCATGATCAATGTGGATTGCTTAGGGCTCAAAGCAATTTAAGGTGTAAGAGTTGGTTTTGCCTCCTTTTTTGCCTGAAAAATTAGCAGAAGTTGAAACCCATTTCTAGAGAGAGAGATTATTCTTCCCTATGCCCCCGTGGTTGCATACTGTATTTGTGCATACTATTTACCATATGCATAGGCTTGTCTACCAATACCTATTAATGCAATTTGAACAATAATTTCAAGCTCTGCAAAATTTAAACTGTTGAGTCTAAAAGTATGAACAAAATTTTAAAAAATCTTATGTTATGCTTTGCGAATTTGGTCAAAATTCAAATGGTTAATTAATAAGATTAGGTAATTGGCTGTTTTTTTTTTTTATTTAGGTACGCGTCAATGGGCCAGAAACAGCTCCCATCTACAAATTCCTCAGAGCAAGTAAAGGTTCATTGTTTGGGTCTAGGATCAAATGGAACTTTACCAAGTTTCTAGTTGATAAGGAAGGGCAAGTCATCGGCCGTTTTGGCCCAACAACCACACCATTTGCCATTGAGGTAGCTCTCTTTCTCTCTCTCTCTGTCCTCTCTCTCTTTCATATGTTTGTACGAGTCTTTGTGTGTCATCTATTTCCTTGAATTTTTTAATATTACATTTCTTGTCTTGCCTTGATTTTCTAATGCAGAAAGACATCCGGAAAGCGCTGGGAGATGTGTGAGGGACTTGTAAGGTTGGGTGTAAACTGAATTGATATAAATTAAGGAGATGGTAAAGGTGAAGAAGAAAAGATGCTGATGCTATATTTGGTTAATTGTTTCAAATTTGTTGGTAATGTTTTTTTTTTTTTTTGGGTCATAATATTGCTGTTGTTTAAACTTTTTGCACTCTGAATACTGTAAAAAATCTATATTAGGCCATGAGATGTGAGTTGTTCCTTTGAAACCCTTTGCGGATGTATCTATCTTGTATCATTGAAAGTGGTACCTACCAAGAGTTGTAGGCTTGTAGCCGAGTATTATTTCCTCACCCTTTTAAAGAGAGAATAATAAGGTTACTAACGGATCTATTTAGGGGTTTCGCACTTTAATAGCTTGGCTGGCTGACCGTACACATCAAAACGTTTCTATTTATGCTTCATTATTGTGAAAATGTACCATACAGGGGACATTAAGGTTGGTGGTGAAATTGAATTGTGGAGTAAACTCGGTGTGCATGATACAGACGAAGTATTAAGCAGCACAAGAAATTAAAAAAATGCTGAGTATGGTTTTTTTTTTTTTTTTTTTTAATTGGTAAATCCAACACACGCCCTTTTGTCCGGGTTGAATCCCGCCCCTCCTCTTCGAGGATGAGGAGTATATACTGTTGGGTCAAAGGCCTTTTGGTGCTGAGTAGGGATTTGCTTGTCTCAGAGTGGCAGGTTACTCTTAGACGGTAGAAGAGAAGCACGTCTCTCTATCTCATGCTCTCACACATGCACACACTGCTTGTAATAATTCCCAGAAATTTTAATAGTTTGACATTAGGATAATTATTCGGGAATCACTCTAAGGAAGGTGGTCGTACATTTAGAAGTTTTAATGTAGAGAGCATAATAATTAAACTTAAAGCCTAAAGCAGGTAATATATATAGGACAATTATGTGTCAATTTATTATTGGTCCACATCAACGGTGAATATATTGTAAATCCTCACTAGTGTGTGTATATGTATACATACACATACAATTATGTAACTAATAATATTTATTTCCTTCATTTTCTCCTTCAAATTGTTTGAAAATTTGTACATAAAAGTTATATATAGTCATTCCCTCCAAGTGAAGGTAAAGCCAGCCCAGGTAATGATTCAAAACATAGATTTCAAGAATGTTAAATAATCTTACCTCATCAATAGATCTTCTTTGTCCCTTTAAACATGTAATGTAAGATGCACAGGTTGATAAATAGCAAGATAACAGTACTAGGTACCTTTAAACTGAATTTATTCAAGGTCTAGGAAACACAACATTCTCTAACTCACGTGTGATGTGGGAACACAACTCATCATGTTAGGGTTTGTATTAGCCATATATTGTCAGATTATTTCCACCTCAAACACCCTCATCCTTCAATTATTTCCCCCTCCCCCATGGAGATAAGGTTAGAAACCCTTCAATGTCATTCTTTAATTCTCAACATCTGGGTCATGGTTCATCACGTGGGTTGGACCCGCAAGTAGAATCTTATAGTCGGGTGACGACGACCCGAGATGACACGTGTCTTGGTCTCGACCTACAAAGCCTTAGAGGGTGCCCCAAGTGTCTACTAAAGGGGTCACATTGAATGGCATGTGAAGTTGCTATTGAATGTGAGGGTTCAAAACCAGTGTTGCATAAAGAAGAAGAGGTAGGGCTTGGAAGGCATATCATCGAAGAGGTGAATGTGAATGACTTCGAACTGGTTTGTCATGACCAGCATGTCGGATATCAACAAGGACCATTCTTTTCAACCTAATTCAATCAGAGACATATAAGGACCGTGGTCCCTTGGTAAAAAGGTTGAGTCTTAGGTGATATCTCAATTGGGGGAGTCCACAATTGTAGGATAAAACTTGAGGACTAGGACCATCTTATGGCATTATTGTTACTTCTTTTGCACCCCATCCCCTTTTCTTTTTTTTTTTAGAATATAGTCGAAATAAAAATATATATATATATATTAAAGAATGTATTAAACCACCTAATTAGTCTTTTCTTACATTTCCTTGCACTTTTTTTTTTTTTTGGAGAAAAATAAGAATACTGTTAAAAAGTTAGGGTCTGCTTGGTTCAATTTTCTATTTTCTGAGTATTATTTTCTATTTTATGAGTACTATTGTCTTTATAGTATTGTCTTCTATAGTTCTTTGAAAATATTTTATCTTTTCAGGATACTCAAGAATTGTTTTTGAGTAAACAGACCAAATCAAGTAGATTCTTAGGGTATGCTTGGTTTGTAACTCTGAAAACAGTTTTCAGAAATTCAGAAAATAGAGAACAGTTTTGAGATAACTATAGAAGACTGTTTTCTCTTAAAACAGACATTTTTATAACCCAATTTTTACAAAACAGTTTTTAGAAAACTGAACCAAATAGAGTTTTTTTTGTACAATTTTCTGTTTTTAGTTTTTTAACAACAAAAAATTATTTTCATAATTACAAACCAAACAAATTTTTAACCTTTTTCATTTTTCTCTCTTTTCCTTTCATTCAAATCCAAACATATATTCGAGTCCTTTACCCTCCTTTTCCTTTCCTTCATTTCTAATTCATTTCGTCAAAATATGCACAAGGGTGTTCTATGTGTATACTTTTTACCACTTCTCGGTTCATTTTCAATGATGAAATTGAAACGTGATAAGAGCCCTCGTTGACCACTTTAGAGGGTGGGAATGAAATATAGAGGGAATGAACCAATCCCTTCTCTGCCAAAAGTTTGGCTGTGTGCATGCATTTGCACTAAAACGCCCTCCATAATTAACAACCGATTTACCGTCGTTTCTAAATGTTACTCAATCAATCACAACAACGGGAAATAAAATAAAAAATAGTAATGATTGGTTGAAAAATAATCATACCACTTCAAAGTTGTCAGAATTAATTTTTCAATCAATCAACAAATGTCCATATGCTATAAATTAAAAAAATCTTTCCTCAAACGAATAAGTAAACCAACATTATCACGAAAGAAAATTGACCAATAGACATCAATGAGGTATTAATTAGTTTTTCGTATTTATTTTATTTCATTCGTGTTGATTAATTAATATGATTTCTGAATTTGGGTAAATTTTTACTAGTAAATTATACAAAGAGTTCCTTTTATAACTCATAATACAACAAACTCTACATTATTGCATCATTACCACAAGAAAGCTTGGACATCTTACATAAATGAAAATTTTATGTGCCTTCTTTAATGTAATAAAAAAAATTATTTGTTTGGCAACCAAAACTAATATTTTATTATCAACACAATAGAAAAAATAATATAAAACCTTATCTTGTGACTTATCTCTGCCATATCTTGGTCAATAACAATAGACAATCATGTCAAAAGTTTAGGATTATGTCTGTTATCTTCTCTCTGTTTCTGTATTTTTGCTGATTTTTAAAAAATTAATAAATAAAAAAAAAAAAAACATATTTGTTTTCTACATGCATGTGGAAAGGGTATTATAGGGAGAAGTTGATGACAAGTCATTTTCAACAAGCGTTGGCAAGGAGACATGCTAGTAGGTCTGCTTTGTCTTATAATTTAGACAGTGGGTCCCAACCCATTGGCCCAAACAGGGGCCAACATTTGTCAGTCACCACAAATGGTCTCTCCCATATCTCCATTTTTTTCTCTATATATAAGGCCTAAAGTCCCCAATACCCCCTCATTCAACACAACTACTTCAAAGACTCACCAAAGTCAGAAGCATATATTCATTCATATTTCCCTTAAAAAACCAGTCCATTTTTTTCGCATGAACATGGCTGCAAATTCTTTCTCCATGAGAGGTTCGAAGCTCCGGTCGTGGCAGCGTTGCTCGAAGCAAATCCGAGAGCAGCGTGGCCGGCTTTATATCATGTGGAGGTGCACTGTGCTTCTACTTTGCTGGCATGATTGAGCTCCCACAGTACTTGACATGAGGCTTGGCTTTGGAAGGTGTAGGGAGGCTACTTAAGAGTGAAGTTTTGAGGCTCAAGTTTTGTAAAATTAACCATATGGCTTGGCTTATACCATGGTGGAATCTCGAGTCTTTCACTAATAGTGGGTGGGTGGTTTTTCATTTTTGTATTTTCACTTTTCACATAGGTTTGATTAGAACTTAGAAAGAGATAGAAGAGTCTAATGAAGCAAAGATGTCGATCGGTCCATTTGTAAAATACATGTATCATGAAAACAAAGTTAAAAGTGATAATGGAACACTTTCTTGTTTCAATTTTTTGCAAATTGTGTTGTGTATATGTGGAAACCAATGGATGTGATTGTTGTGAGTGGTAGCGGAGGCAAGCATTAGTGTGGTGCCGGCCGGTACATTCCAGCGATCAAGTTAGTTCTTCTTGATCTATATCAAAGAAAGACTTTTGTGTATGATGTACCTTTCTATTATCAGTGACCAATCAAGTTACCTCCGTTTTATGACTTGTCATTTCATTAGTTAATTCATTCATTTAATTTAAACAGCTTAATCTGTTCGGCCTTGACTGAGATTGATAAATTATCTGTGGCAGCTAATTGAGCTTTCAAAAAAAAAAAATTGTACTAAACAATTATATGCTTAAATTTCTTAACTTTGTAGTTAACAATCTTAAAAGATCATGATCTATAATGGAAATAAGTAAAACTAGTAGAATAACATATTATTTTAACGAATAGAGACGGATTGGAGGTAAATTTGTTTTGACCCTTCTCAAACCTACAATTAGCATACATCAAAAGTCAACTCATCCCATTGAGACTTTACAATCTAAACGTTTCAAACTTGATCAACTTTAATTGTTTTAAATCTTAGCCAAACAGTTGCTTGACCCTTGCAAGTGTTGTCCAGCAACTTAGCATACCATATAAAAAAGGCTAGTTCAGTGCACGAAGCTTCCGCAATGAAGAGGATTTGATGTACACAGTCCCACCTCCAAATACTGGCCTCCATGTATGTATATGCAAGCTCTTACCTCCCCCACATGCTGGGAGAGGTTATTTCCTATTTTGAGCCGTGACCTCCATATATGCATATGCTATTGAAAATTAGGCTAAAATAACCCCATTTCGGGAAGCTCTTGCGTCCCCCATATGCTTGGAGAGGTTTTGGAGAGGTTATTTCCTATTTTGAACCCGTGACCTCCATATATGCATATGCTATTGAAAATGGGACTAAAATAACCCCATGAAGCTCTGCATACCAACCACTAACAGCACCAACATCATATCCTTAATTATATATAATCAAAACAGACCCGTGAACAGTGAATAGGAGAGTTTGAAGTTTAGCAAAACAGAGCTCTGGCCCTTGGGAGAATGTCTTAAAGCAGTCAGAACGTTTCTCTCTGTGCAAAAGCAAGATTGTGAAATGACAGCAATACATGTTGAACTCGCGCTCCAAGCACTGACAACTGCACGAGATGAACCAAAGTTCATCACAGTTATTTACTCTGAAAAGCTTACATCCATGCAGAGGCAAAACGAAATAGAATTCACCTGATCATCATCATAATTATTTTCATTTCCCAACAAAATTTTACAAAGTGGCTTTTGTAATACATAAACAATCCCATCTTGATCCCAGGCAATAAAATTAACAAAATCGATGGTCAAAACGAAATTAAGGATAAACATGTACACTCACTAGAATCTAACAGCGTGGATTTGAACAAAACCAGTTGCTAATATTTAAAGAAACTACAAGAGCTGGTTGGTGAGACAAACAAGCACGGCTTTACAGCTACCTTGGCCATTGGAACCACGAAATCATTTCTTGTTGCCTTGAAAAGGCTCCCCTGAATTCCTTGGTAACCTCATTGAACTTGAATCATCCTCTGCAGACTTCTTTGGATTTGGTCCATGTTTACTTTGACCTCCCTGAAACATCACCACAAAAATACATCAGTATATAAAGGTATTATTAAAAATAAAATATCAGACTAATGCTAGAGCTTTTCTTTTCTTTCTTTTTTCTTTTTCTAGTGTTGCAAATTTAACTTCTCGCTTCAATAACTATATCAATTTTTAGTGAAACGTTTAATATGGTCCTGTTCCAATGATTCTTGAATTATTGGATCTTTAAGAGATTGCTCATAAACAACACATTGCATGGAGCCATATGTATTCAGACTGCATAAATGTGACGATCGTATAGAAGTTTCTCGCTATCCAATGCCGTTGCAATTTTAAATGTGAAGTTTGGTAATGTTGACTTTGGAGGAAGGACTTTCTTTATACTCTGAATTTCAATTTCAGAGACTAGCTCGATAGCAATGAAAGCTAGAAATCTAACCAGCTTTTGTTTAAGATACTCTTCAGAAATTCAAAGGTGTTTCAAGTGCAATCTGTTTGAGGCAGTTTTAGAATGTATTATTGAAAATGATTTATACACATTGATGCATAGAAGTTGGTAAGGCTTATTCTGCAAATAACTTGCTCAGCAGAATTTGCACTTCAAAAATGTCTCAAGAAAATTTAGCTCAAAGAGGGGTTTTTGAAAGCAAACGGTGCTAAGCTTAGCCTAGCTTGCAGGAGACCTCTAAATTATGCAATATGCAGGGAAAGGAACTAACATGTCATCTTTTGATGAGAATTAAGTGCCAATTATGGGTTTAAATTTAAAAAATAATAATAATAATATTATTTGCCCAAACGTAAGTGTCACACAAAGGCACAACAAATCATTTTTTTTATTTTTTTATTTTTTATACCGCACCTTTTATACATGAGGTGTGGCAGCTACACAACACCTCAAGTGTTTTACTTGTGTCTACTGCTAATAATCAACACACACACCAAAAATCAACAATATCAATAAAGTAATGCCTTTAACTTACTGTGGACTTTTGACCAGTTAACCTCCGACTTGAAGGGGCCCTGGCAACAGATGAAGCAGCAGCAGCAGCAGCTACACGTATCCTACAATAATCATAATGTGACATACAGTCAAGGAGGCACTTAGGTGCAGTGACTGCAAAATAAGTTGCCTAGAGAAGTTTGATTGTAAATACCTTTTATGTACATCAACATACACATCTGTCTCATCTACAATTTCTTCCTGCATTATGAATGGGATTATTCAAAACTATTTAGAAATGGACTCAAAAACAAAGCCTTTTCCCAACTAATTGGGGCTGGCTACATGAACTATATTTTTTTTCATTCTGCTCTATCTAAAGACCATATCCTCAATCAAACCGCATGTTATTATATCTTTCCTTATTACCATGGACATTGAAAGAAAATTATAGGGGTATCTACTAAAACATAGGGTATCACATTAATCAAATGATTAAAACTAGAGGGGTCTTAATTGATCAAAGACGGGTAATAATCAGGATATTTAGGAGCATCAAAATAATGCCAAAGGGTTGGCCTCTCTCTACCATTTCCCTTCCGACACCCTGCGTTAACGAGACTAGAAAGAACTGAGGAATGGGTTTTCTTAGTTAAGATTGCAACTCATCCAAAGCAATGAAAAATTGAGTGAGGAAACAGAGATTACTTGCAGAAGTTCTTCAAAAACATCCTCCAAGGTGATTATGCCAATGACTTCTCCATCTTCAATATCCTCTGACAAATGGGTCAAACTGGTAATTGCAGAACCATTTTGCTGAAAGAAACTTTGGTTGTTTGTAGTAGTGAGTGTAGAAGCTTTCTCAACATTGATGACTATACTATTGGCTTTCTCATCGTGCTTGGATAGCAATGGGGTGGTTAATTGGGAATTTCCACTGGTAACTTTATTTTCTTCAAAATTTTCTCCATCACCATTAGGCTGAGGATTCTTGTCTTTTCCTTTAACCTTAACTACAGCTGCCATATGACTGCTTCCTTTCTGAAACTCGTTAAGGATATCATATAAAGGCATATCTGCTGGAACCCTAGAAGATGTGTATAAAAAATCTTATTTTGGAATATAAAATGAAAGCATGATATAAACAGGGAACCGACGGACAAATGAGCACACCTAGGAATTCTCCGGATGGAAACAGCACTAACTGGAGTCTCTGTTTCTGCCCGGACTGTGAGCAGACTTTTCACCTATATTCCAAACAGATGGAATGATAAAAGAGTACCAATTGTACAATCATTTGGCTACTGAAAACAGAAGATATACTAAATGGTAGAAAAATCATGATAATAGTTGTGTTTTCACACCAACCAGTAAGAGTCCAATAATGTTTTTTGGATTCCCAGAATACACGGGAACACGACTATGACCTCGTGCAAGAATTTTCCCAATTGCTTCCCTGCACAATAAGACACAGACATTATATTAGAGAGCCTAATTCTTAGGTGGGGGAAAATATAAGCCCTATTTAAGAAATTAACCCATACTGTGATAGTGATTGAACTGCAGCTATTTGTTTCCAATTCAAAAGCTTCACCAGAACTAACTGAAACAGTTTAACCCATATGTTCATTCGTATTTGATGCACACGCATGTGCCCTATTCATCAGTGTCAGAATGTGTATTTGTGTGTGCAGCTTAAGTGGGCAGAGTAAAAACCATCTGCAGTTTCAAGCAGCACAGTCTGATCCCTCTGGAGTGAAAAGTATACCATTTGTGACATTACCAAAACACCAGTATGGAAGCAAACACATGATATGCTCTATTATGGAAGTACATGACTAGTAAAGTTGGGGCAGGGTGATGGCAATAAAGGGAAGAAAAATAGGAGGTATTCCTTAGCAAAACTATATATGAAGTTGACAGTAAAATACATTTTCTCAAAAACACTTCTAAAACAATAATTTTTGCCATTCATATAGGAGAAGGCTGAAAAGTAAACTATTGTCATTGCGTGATAAATAAGAACAAAGTAGCACAAGCAATTGTGGCACAACAAAAACCACTCTGAACAAACTCACCAGTCTAATTTTGAATTGACATCCAAGGAAAATGTTGATTCAATAGGTGTCATAGCCTCCTCTGCAGTCTGCACACACCCAGAGAAACTTGAGTCTTTTGGCCAATCAATTAAACAGGTCAAAAACACTGGGACATGCACATTAGAACATGGTTGCACACACCAAGACAACTTAAAATTCAAAATGATGTGCATGCCTCTCATCATCATCATCTTTAGACTTTACCTTAGCCCCAATCGAATGGGGCCGTCCCAAGCTTACTTTCTCTTATTTTATCATTAATATGTTTCATTTCTTCTTTCTCACAATTGAGGGCGGGCCCTGGCGCAATGGTAAGGTTGCTCCATTGTGACCTGGAGGTCGCGGGTTTGAAATCGAAAACAACCATTCTGCATGCGAAAATAAGGCTATATACATTTGACACTCCTAGAACCCACAGTGGCAGGAGCCTCGTGCACTATGTTGTCCTTTTATGTTATTAATCCAGTCTCTTCTAGTTACTCTTGTCGTACATTATGGCGTTCTCATTTCAGCCACATGGATATGTTCTTGTCTAATTCTTAATGCTCTCTATAAAAGGAAATTGCGCTAACATGTGCTCCGTAGAGTATTTCCCATAAAATTATTTGGTATTCTTTTATCATAAAGGATACCACTGACTTGTCTCAATATTATCCAACCTGTTCCAATACTATTTATTGCACACCATCCATCTTCCCAGAAGATCATATTATTGATCCTAGATGTCATAAATTCTTAATTTAAGTAATCCATTGGTTTAAATTATTGTCATTCATTGCATCTGTATTATGTTTGCATGTCACGTCTCCTATTTCAATTCTACTAATTGTTAAAACATTTTGACTCTAAAGTATTTCTCTAAGTTTTCATTTTTGTTGTCAAGAATTCCTTAGAAGTGTCATTTATTTGTTTATTTATTTTCTTGGCAATACTCATTAGAAGTATCTAACACACTGGAGCATTAACAAACAACATGAACCATGGAATGTCTCCTCATATATCTTTCATTCTTTCATCTAAAACTATTGTGAATGGATATAAGCCTAGTGTTGATTCTTTGTGAATGGATATAGGCTTAGTGTTGATTCTTTGTGTAATCCACTTTTATAGGAATATCACTAGTTTCTCCAAATACAGTATGAACCCTAGTCACGGCTTTCCTATTCATATCTTAAATAATATTTATTTAAATTAATATGAATTCCTTTCTTTCCCCTGCTAAATTATATATCCAATTAGCTCTTTTTACTGAGCCAAGGTAGCACTTTACTCCTTTTTCTGGACACGAAAGCCTGCAAAGAGGAATGCCTCAAAATAAAAAAATAACATTTAAACTTTTATAAGGCACAATCTGCATTTATATCCAATATTGAACCATTAACAGTGACTCCAACAAATTCTAGTAATAGTAAATTTTGACCAAGAGGTGAAACTAGATGGGTGGTAATAGAAAAGTCAAAATCATGCACACAATTTTTTAATTTTTATTTATTTCTAGTAGTACCAAAATAAACAATCAACAAAGCCATAGAGTTCAACTACCAGAAATAAAAAAAGTCACTGAAGATTGAAATTGCACTTCATTTGAAACTCTATGTCCAATTAAATGAAGTGTCATTTTGATTTTTGTTGCCTTCCCTAGAGGGGTGTCTTCTTAACCAGAAGCAGGTATCTAAATTATACGCCATCTTCATTCCTCTTATTTATTTTTGTTAAACACACATATAATCTGTGGAAAAGATGGCTAAAAAATAAATATATTGAAAGCATACATTATGAAGAAAAGATGAAAAAGAATAATACAAATGGATCTTCTAGAGTGCTCTTTTGTTGTAGCACAAACCTTTTCAGTTAAGTCGAGTGCTCCACTTATTATGGTAGTCTCATCATGCGTGAGTTCACCTCCTTTACCAGCCTAGCATGGACAAAAGGAAAAAAGACAACAACAAATTAACCAAGGGTTGTAGCCTAGTGGTACTTCCTAACTTTCCAAATTGGATGGCCGAGGGTTCAAGTCCCCGTTTTCAGACTTTTGTTCTTAATGTCCTAGCATTCCTTCACAAATTTATATACAATTCTCAATAGATAGTTCTAGCTTGTCACCATATTCTATTACTGTTGTTGTGTTATACTAGTATTTTAAGCATTTGATATGTAGTGGTCATACAAGCATCCAATTGGAGGATTACCTCTTGACCATGAATAGAGACAAGGGCTTTCAACTGAGCCCGTCTAAACAAGGCATCATTGTGCCCCAGTACAGCATCTAGAACCTGAAACCACATTGAGTTAGATATTCAAGTGCAATGACTGCTTACAAGGTAAAGTTTTACGATTACAAGTCTGAAATATAAATGCTGAAAAAATTCAAGCGCTGCCTAATCTCGGGATGCATGATCAAACAATATAAAGCATGCAGCAAAAATGCACATAATCAAAGGGAAGGAAAGCTAATTCACAGGATACATTTCTCAGGCACCAGACTTGTTCACACTCTATGCTGTAGTAATTCAGAAATCTCCAATAGATTGGCCAGCCCTTTGATTGGAAAGAACTGGATAATTTTTATTACCCAAATTTAGTCTTGTTCTTAAATTTCACTTGATATTTTTCACAAATCAACAAAAAATGTTGATTAGTGAAATGATTGAAAAGCATTCTCATGCTGTCCTTGGACACACGTATCCTTGTAGCCCTGAGTGTGGGATCCATTGGAATGTGGGGTATTTAGCCTTGTAGCAGCTTAATTATATCTTTGACATTGATATGTGTTTCCTTGTAGAAGCTTCACATATATGTGAAGGTGATGTCTTTCACACAAACATGTAGAGAGTTCACATTCATTTCTAAACTTCAATTTTGTGAGCAGTTTTACTGATTGAAAAAAGAGGCACGTATAAAAAGGAGAACCTTCTGTCTTCTCCCACCTCTTGCAACACTCTACCAACAGTTCCTCCATCACGGGTAGCTGGCTCATATCTTATGAAACCAAAGTAGATAGCATACAGGTTATTATGGTGTAATGAATCATTTAAGTGTCCGGCTGATAGTAGGCCACTAGGGCCCCTCTAATAATACTACATTCCATTCTATCAACATTCCCAATGAAAAAATTCTTGAGCTGTTGTTTCTCCCTTAGGGCTCAACTCAATTCAATTCAGCTGTACTAAAATTCAGCAATTTAGCATATCTATCTTGAACAGTGAGATTTGCGCAACAAGATAGGAAATAACAAGTGAGAAGATGATATTTGCATGCTAAAAATTTCCATGAGATAATCCTAAAAGTACAGGGTGTAAGAATCTTTCTGTTCACTGGATGCTCACTATATCCACCTTCACAAATTATCTTGAACCATGAAAGGGAATTACACTTTTAACATAGATGGAACCGTCCTCCAATTGTCTGCCTTCAGAATTTCAACATTACCAGTGATTCTTTATCCCTAATTTATCATTTCTAGAAAAACCTAGGGATAAGAAGCTTTTGAAACATCTTATGTTTTAGTCCAGAAAAGGAATTTTTTTGCAGCTTGAGCAATAGTTATGCAGATAAAGAGTGGTTTTTTACCAAATTAAATATTACAGATAGGAAAATATAATTTCGCTATATCTATCAGCTATAGGTATAATCACGGTATTACCTTTGCAATAGGGTAAGCAATAGGATAGCAAATGATCATCAGAATGCGCACAAGAAACACAAAATTTGCTCCCACAGAGAGTCCATATCTTGTACATATAGCTTGCGGAATGATCTGGCGAAAGTTAGATACCAAATTTAGTCCCGGTTACATAATTTATTTATGGCTATAGTAGTTGAAAGCAGACAAAGTTGAAAACAAAACTGACCTCTCCGAAAGCTAGAACAAAAGTTACAGATAGTACAACAGCAACAAAGGGATGAAAAATTTTATCCAGGTATATAGGAAGAGCCTGCGGGGAGAATTTATCAAAACAGTGCACAAATTAGTAAAATGCTATTATGGTCAATGGCAAATTAATAAATTGCTAAGAAGAACAAGACAAGGACGGTGATGATGATGCTGGTTGTCAATCACATTGGTAATCTAGGAAACACGGTGTGGTTATAACTAACAAAGTCAATTGTATAAACAAAGCAGTACATAGTTGAAGCTTTCTTCTTTAAGAAGAAGAAGAAGTTGCATTCAGATTATTATTAATGATCCAACTGTTTCGTGTGTTTGCCACTTTTCCATTATTTTTTGTATGAGCCATTAATCCGTGTGCAATCATGTGTGTGAGCATGTCTGTTATGATGTATGATAATTAGATATGCATGCCAAGTATAGGGTTGACTTAGATGATCGCAAAATCCTCCATTACATACAATGAATCATATTTTTTTATTAGTCATTACATACAATGAATCATAGAGACAGAACAAAGTTGTTATCAAATATGCAAGGAATTCGGATAATACATGCAAGGAATTTGGAAAATTACTAACCTCCATGGCACATGCATTACAAAGAAGCAAAGTCACAAGAAGTTGGTGTTGCTTTTGAACAACTGGTAGGATAGCAGCTGAATAGAAATAAACTGACAATCAAAATGTGCTCACATTGATTTGTACAAAAGATGGTTTCACTAATAGATTTCAAACTTTCTTATGTAGTTACACCCCATATATGGCATATTGTTTCTTTCAAATGGCTATTATCTGACACAATCATTTCAGTAACTCATGTCATTTAATGATATCAAATATTTGACCAAATTCATAAGTTTATGGTTGGCTGTGCGCATTAAATGCACCTAGCATTTGGTTCTTGATATTTTATGATAATATAATATATTTCATGTTATAGTTTATCATTATTTCTTCATAATCAAATTTAATATTCATTTGAATCACGAACATATCTAACTTTAACCAAGCCTGAGCCTCACATGGTGCCCTGCACTGAGGACATCTTGGCGCTTTGGTGCACCTTAACCTTCAATAAATATAGCTCATGGTCAGTCCAACAAGTGATGGTCCTGTAAAAACAATCCATGAACTTTGACTAATCAAAAAAAAAAAAAATGTCCATTAACCTTCAATAAATATAGCTCATGGTCAGTCCAACAAGTGATGGTCCTGTACAAACAATCCATGAACTTTGACTAATAAAAAATTATCCATTAACTTTGGGCTTCTCCATGAATTTCGATGGAAAGTGATTGCTCGGGAGAAGCCACTCCCTCAAGACCCTGTCACCACATTAACGGACTACGTGATTCTTACTCTTTCTTCTCATAATTAGAGTCCCTTGCCTCCTTTTATACACATGACACATGAGTACATAAGACGTGAAGATCACAGGATGATGTGACGTCCCAGATCACCTGAGGAGAGGTTGGCACTTATATGTGTGGATGTCTCCTAACTGTGTAGACACATTTTGGAAGTGAGAATGGTATCTACACACTGTGTGTGTGTGGGTCATGAATGGTGACTTTGCTACCAGCCTATCACTAACCCCACACTTCTAACCAAAACTATGGCCTATGATCACAATTCACGGGGATAGGACAAAGGCAACCGACCTAGGACATGACTTGAATTTCACTTATTTAGAACATTGAAAGTGAATATGTTTCGAACATTCTATCTTTTTTACCAAAGATTCCATCGCAACCAACCATCAATCCATTGTTTCATGGATTAACTTCGCTTAAAATAAGGAATCGCGAATAAGATCAATTATAAGCAAGCAAGGAATCGAGAATATATATATATATATATATATATATATATATACAATCAAAAGATTGGTTTAAACACGTAAGATTTGCAAATAAGAATAGGAATCAGATTAGAAACGAACCTGCTTGTTTCTTTTCAGCGGATGTGCCGCTTCTTTGAAGGATCTCGAGTTCAACAAGTCCGAGGGACATCAAGCCCAAGGTGAGACCTGACATTATCCCTGCGAAGAGAACGAGAAAACACGAAATACCTATGTAGACGAACCACCAGAGCGTTCCGAATTGGATGTCTGTTGCTTCGAATACGAAGAAGGTCGGTGTCATCCGAGCTAAGGTTAAAGCACCTACCGACCACATCGAATCGATCCGATTCTTTTACAGTGGAGAGAGAGAACTGTAGAGAGAGAAAGAAGAAGAAGAAGATCGATTGTATCAATGGAGAAAAGGACGAAAACAATTAATATCCACGGCAGTCAAAATTTTGGTTCTTCTTTGACGCAACGAAAGAGATGTCATTGTACTGGCACTGTTTGTTGTGTGATCCGTTAGGTTAGTGGATGTTTGGGACGCTCTCTCGTGTTTGCTTTACTTAGATTTGAGACAAATCTATACATGATATGAGCACGTGTCGAGACAATACCATTTTCTTACAGCCTTTTCTTTCAATATTTGTAAACTAAGTTCTCTTTAATTCTTGGAATCACATATTTCTAAAACAATATCAAATGAAAAAAAAAATCATAATTTATTAATTATACACTTCGTATAAAAAAATATTGTGACACTTTTTGAACTTGCTTTAATATTTATTTTTATTACAATTGGTTGAATTTTAAAAACTAATTTTATATTTAAAAATTTTGCTAATTTTTGTGGCAAAAATAATGTTCTTTTTCTTTCTTATGTAAATTGATATTAATCGCAAAATAAAGGTAAAAGGTATAGTTAGAAAATAATATTTGAGGCATTTACAAGAAAGGGCGATATTCGTAGAAAAATGTTAATTGAATTATGTTAGAAATATTTGTAAAAACTTAAAAATAAGGCTTTATGGTAATTTTATTTTTGGAACTTAGTTGTGTTTAAAACTAAAACATAGGACTAACTAATATTTTTGCTTTTTCTATTTCAATTTCTATTTCTATTTTAGGCTGCAAACAAAATTTTCGTCAAATAATCAAATAAACTTTAACAAATATAAATTTTCTTCAATTCAATTTTTAAAATAATCTAATCCAATGTATGATATTTTCAATCCAATATGACAAAATATATAATATAGGAGTAATATTTTGAACATGTATTATTTAATACTATAATATACATTTATGTGCTATCAAAGATCTAATCTCTCACATTTTTCTTCCATTATTATTACTCTTATTAATTACAAAATTTGGATGTCGCAAGTTTGAAACCAAGAACAGTCTCTCCATGGAAAGATAAGCTTGCTACCACACGATAGAAGGAGCTCCGAACTAAACCGCCCTAACTCAAAAAATAATTATTATTTATTGATTGGATGAATCAATGAAGTGATAGCTAAAGTTATTGCGGTGACACCAATCTTAACAATCTCAAATGTCCACCCAACCTATTTATTTATCCCTAACATTAACGATTGGGACACTGGACTGAAGATTGAACCCGCTCTAATATTATTTATCACAAATTAAATAATTTACGATTTGATCCTAAAATTTAAACTATTAAACAGTGCTAACAACTTAACTTTATATGTTCAAAATATTTTTCGTCGGGGACGAGAGACAATAATCCATAACAAGATGGTCACTTTGGACTAAACGTCATTTTTATTTCTTGAAGGATTATGCTGCTTAGACCGAATGTCTCAACTCTCAAGCTGACAAAGAACGAGGGTTGGTAACGTGCAAATCCTAAATCGTAGTTCCAAGGAGTAATGAATCCTCTCTTCAAACCCAAACCTCCAAACCATGGTAATCCTCCGTCCCTGAGAAATCCAATTGCAAATCACCTAACGCCTCCATTTAAGCCACTGATCCACCATAGCACTACTCCATCCTTCAAACCAAACTCTTTGAAAAAGCATACAGTCCATAAGAAATCCATCACCAAACCAATACAGCAGCCAAAAATCTCAACTACTAATCCATCCCAACCATCATTTACACAACAATTCTTACCTTCCTCCAAGCAAAATACTCCTAAACTGATTCTTAAAAAACCTTCAACTGCTATTCCCTCCCTCACACAAGTATATCCACCATCAATTCCATCCTTAGTTTCAGGCCAACCACATTGCCATTTCCCTTCACCAACCATAAAACCTATACGACCAACCAACACTGCCAAACATAGACACATTAACAGCTCACCAAATGGACACATTAGCAGCTCAAAGACGGCTCATCATCAACCTTCACCTCCAGGTAAATTGCCCAGAAACTTCAACCCACTGCTGTACTCTTCTCCAACTTATCAAATTGACAGGCTTCAAGAGCAACTGGAATGGAAGAATGAGACCTTGGGGAAAGCAATGGAGATGTATGAAAAACAGAAGAAGCTTAATTCTGAATTACAAACTGAGCTTAATAAAGTCAAGCTACAGATCAAGCTTTTACAACAGGCTCTGACAACCACCCCCACAGCCACCACTTCCTCCTCCAATGGCATCGATCATCCCACCATGGTGGGCCCAGGTTTGATCTATAATTCAAATTCAAATTTGAATCACACAAACACTATTTTGCATACATCACCAAAACAGACAACATGTAATGTAATACCCCGTATTTTATTAAAGAGTTTAGTTTATTTAAATTCATTTATGTGTGGATTTCTTTACCTATTATTGTGCATGCTACATTGTTATATTAAGTTCATTTAATGGTGCATGTAAATTAAGTGTATATGTTAAAATAGTAAATTTATTCATTTAATTGTGCATGTATTATTAATAATAATTTTATTTGTTGATTATGTTTAATTAAGCAATATTAGTTAATTAAAGTATTATATTTATGTTATAAAGTATTATGATGATATAATGTATTCTTATGTAATAATAATTATTATTATAATAGTTATTAATAATAATAATAATATAATAATATTAATTATAATAGTTTATTAATAATAATAATAATAGTTATAATAATAATAATAGTATTAAATCATAAGTCATGATGAAATTAGAGATTATGATAGGATTTCATTAATATTTATAGGTAAGACTTGAAGCCATATGGTTGGGAATGTGGTGAGTTTAATGTAAATTTAGATATTTGTAATATTTATATTATTTTAATTTGTATAAATATTAGTTAGTTTGATGAGAAGGTAAGTTAGAAACCAATTTAAAATAGTAGAGAGTTGTTGTTAGAGGAAAGAAAGAGAAGCAAGGTGAGAGAGAAAGAAAGAAGTTTGGACCGGTGTAGGAGAAATTTACCCGATTACGCGCAACCGGCGGATTTTTTTTAAATCCAAAAAGGCAAGTTATTATCTACTTTTCCCCTTTGAATTAATAAATTAATTGTTTAGTTTATTTGTATGCATAGAGCCAAGGTTAGTAGATTAATAAATTATAAATTTTATCTTATTAAATTAATGAAATTTTAATTATATAGGATGGTATATATTTATTTAATATCCTATGAAATTAATAATGGCCGAAAATAATTAAATAAGGCTTTAGGGATTTTTCTAGAATTTTCTAGATTTTTCCGGGGCTTTTCTGCAATTTCCGGCGACCTTCCGGCGAGTTTTCCGGTCGCCGGCAATGGGGGAGATGACCGGAGTGATCCGGTGTGATGCGGCGCACCATAGGAGGGTATGCGCGCGCATCTGGACCATTAAACAGCAGCGATTGATCCGGTGCACCGCGGTCCATGTTACCGCGGTACACCCGGATCCGTGAGCGTTAGATGGAGGGAAGGTAGGTGGATTGATCCTGTGTGGCGCGCATGTAGGAAAGATGATGCAGCCAACCAACCGGAGGTCGCCGCGTCAGCAAGGAACCATTAGTGCGCGCGTGGCAGCGCGTGCGCGCGCGTGACTGATTCCAGACGCGCGTGGGAGCGCGTGCGCGAGCGTAGAACTCTCCAAACGCACGTGCAAGCGCGTGTGAGCGCGTGGGAGAGTGGGAAAGCTTGGCGGCGCGTGTGGGGAGCTCTGGGAGGCGCGTGGGGGCGCGTGAAGGGCCTCTGCAGCTGCTGGAAAAGTCCAGAATACCCTTAGGGACTGTTTTGTCATTACCAGGACCTTCACTATACATTTTGGGGCCTCGGGTTGGCATTTTTGGAATTAACGAGACATTATATTATTATTTTATTTCTCGTTAACTATTATAATGGTCCGATTAATATTTCTAAATATTAATTGTATCAATTAAAGGGCGAATCGCTAGTAAACGTATGTAATTAAGTTAAACGACTATAAATAGTATTATTATTTTATTAAACTGTAATAAACCATTAATGTTAAGTTAATTAGTGCTTGGTTTCATTCATATAAATGATCCATTACATATTATGGAATAGTTATACTGTTAATCGTATATAAACCATGATTATTATGCTGCGTGCATTTCAGGGAATAAATGGACTGTTTCAATTATGTCGCATTTATATTACATGGATGTGTTGCCATATAGAACCATGTGAGCTGGTTAATAAGTTTAGACTCATTTATACCTTATGCATTCGTTGCTATAGACAGATGTCGGGGTATGTGGTTTAATATTATTGGCATGTGTTGCCTAATTGACATGCTCAGTATGTTTAGTAATATTATTGGCATGTGTTGCCTAATTTATATGCTCAGTATATTCATCAGTACTTTGAGAGGTGTTATCATTGTGTAGTTCGTTATAGTCTGCGTTGTCAGTACCGTGCACCATGTATAATAGCTGATTTCCCGGGTAGGGAAATGCGACACTTAACCACCTAGTGTGAGTCTAAGTGATCACCGTCTATTCTGGTTGAGGTCATGCTATACATTGGATAGTTCCCTTAGGATGTATACAGATATAGTACTCATCCGATTCATAATGATTAATTTATTTGATTCTCTGATTTGGGTCATAGTAGAGAGGACTTGCTCGTAAGGTTGACCCACCATTGTTGTTATTTCATGATACGGTCAGTACCCGTTCCAAGGTTGAGGTTAGCAGTGTGGGACCACCATCCGAACTCATCTACTCTTACGATCCAGTTCAGGGTAGAAGTTTTATGTATTACTTCAGTTTCAGTTTTTATTTACTTTTGACGTTGAACTCTTAGGTTTATATTTAGGGATCCTTGATATAGGATTTCCAAGTTGTAATGAAGTACTGTATTTAAATAAAGGATGGATGGATGTTGTATTATTTAGTGTTCCTTTCCTGTCTAAATTCTTTTATTATCATCATTTTGTATTCCATGCTTGTATATTGCCAATTGTTTTTGATATCCCTCGTTTTTCGTGTATAAGCCTGATCAACTTATGCGTGGAAAATGTTGGGGGTGTCACAGTTGGTATCAGAGCATTCCAGGTTCGAGTGTCTTAGGGATCTGTGATTACTATACTTCCGCGTTGTGTATTCTGATAATTAGAGCCTAAGTA